GTTCTTGGTGGGGCCTCAAGCTCTCCATGGGAGGGGGGGGGGGAGGGATTTTCTGACGAACCCTGAAAGGGCCCAGAATTTCGGGGTCAACAACAAGGGTTTGCAAGAGTTTGCTGGGGAGCACCCGGAGAGCCCTTTAAGTATCCCTAGCTGGTGCCCATGTAAAGGCCTTTAAAGGTTTAGGGTTTAGGATTTAGGGTTCAGAGTTTGGGGTGTGGGGGCGGGCTGGGCAGAAGGGGCAACAGTCGAGTCCCTTGTGAAAAGGGTTTGGGGTTTAGGGTTCAGGGTTTAGGGTTTAGGGTTTAGGGTTCAGGGTTTAGGGTTTAGGGTTTAGGGGGTAGTTCGCGACATAACTGGGAAGCCCACTGTCACGCGGGAGCCAAGGTTGCCAAGCCCGCGAGCACTTAATTCCCTGTAAGTTCGGAATATGCCTACTAGGGTTTAGGGGTTAGGGTTTAGGGTTTAGGTTTAGGGTAAGAACAACAGCGATTCTGGCTTATTAGGGTTTGGGGATTAGGGTTAGGGTTTAGCTATTGAGGGAGTTATGGGCTGCTTAGGAATCACAGTATACAATCGCCAGAAATACCCTGAACCACTTGGGGAACCCTTATATATATGCCCCTTATATACCCTACAAAGCTCAGGACTTCAGAACTAGTCAGAGCGCTAAACCCTAAACCCTAAACCCTAAACCCTAAACCCTAAACCCTAAACCCTAAACCCTAAACCCCACACCCTAAACCCTAAACCCTAAACCCTAGCCCTAAACCCAGGGCCCATACTTCAGAACTCAGAACCCTTTAAGGCAGGTAAGGGATCCAGATTTTTGGGGGTCATGCAACTACCCTGAGATGCTGCGGCTTCGGGTAAACCCTAAACCCTAAACCCTAAACCCTAAACCCTAAACCCTAAACCCTAAACCCTAAACCCTAAATAGACCGCTTTTCATGGCCAGGCGAGGGCCAGCGGAGCGCCGTTCCTGTTGTGGCATTTGCCTCAAAGCCGCGGCCACAGCTGCTCAGAAACCCTCAAACCATGAGCTCTTTCGGCGTGATTCCGGATGGAAGCCAACGAAAAGCACAATGGGTCTCCTCTCTCGAAGCAATCTTAAACGTCTTAAACCCTAAACCCTAAACCCTAAACCCTAAACGTCTTAAACCCTAACCCCCTCCAATCCATGCCTCGGGCCGCAAGGATCCTCCACCCGCTCTTGCAGAAGCCTCCAGCGCAGCTCTTAGATGGCCATGCCCAGAGACTCCAATACCCCCTTAATTTCTAGATAGGGCTTTGGGACATTTGGGGTTTAGGGTTTAGGGTTTAGGGTTCAGGGCTGGGTTTAAGAGGATCACAGCGGCTAGGTAGGCCTTTGGAGCATTTCACATCTTCCCCTATTGGGTTAAGAGGATCACATTCAGAAATATGTTTCAGAGGGTTTTTAGGGCCATCCTAGATGAAGGAACATTCCTTAAACCATACAAGGAATCCTCTTACATTTTAAGGAATGTTCCTTTAGTTAAAGGGTATTGGAGTCCCGGGGGCGATGCCAGGAAAGAGGGGCGTCTTCCATGTGGCGCATACTCTTGCAGATGGCCAGCTCGAGTTTCCGTGATATGCCATACCCCCAAAGCCCTAAAGCCCAAAACCCTAAACCGCAGAAAGTCAGCTAGACAGGTGGCCGCAACCGTAAACCCTAAACCCTAAACCCTAAACCCTGACGTCAGGTAGAAGACCTTGTGACGGTGCCGGGCACTACTCTGGACTGGGGTTTAGGCTTTCGGGTTCATGGTTTAGGATTTAGGGTTTCGGGTTTAGTGTTTAGGGTTTAGGGTAGAATCATGGCTAGCTGTTGTGGTTGTGCCTATTGTAGCAGTTACACAACCGAAGGTCGTTAAGCCCTACTGTCTGCCTTGAAGCCTTGCCTACCGCATGTGAATGTGAGCGACGACGCCCTGCTGCAGTTTAGGGTTTAGGGTTTAGGGTTGAGGGTTTAGGGTTTAGGGTTTCGGGTTTAGGGTTTAGGGTTTAGGCACGAGTCCCTTGCTTCTTGTCAACAATTTGAGGATGGGCGCGCGTCTGGGAGTCAGCAAGCCCAGCTTCGAAAAAGCGTTAAGGGCAGACGTTGACAGCTGGCGTCTTTTTTAGGGGGCGACCTGATTGGCGGATGCGCATCCAACGCCCTAAAGAGTTACTTTGATGTAGGGTTGAGAGCCCCCTTTCTTCCGGGGTTGACTCGGAATAAAGGTTAACTGTTCTCTGGGGCCTGGGCCCACAAGACTATACAAAACCTGTAGAGTTTTGCGTTTACAGGGTCCCCAAATCCCCTTCACAAAAGGGTCCCCAGATTCAGGGAGGTGGGGGTCCAAACTAGAATCCCTTCATTTTCGTGTTTCCCGGAAAAAAGCCCAATAAATCATACCAAGGGCCCCTTAATTCATGGTGGAAGGCATATTGCCTAGTCAAGGGGTCTTGGGCCTTGGACTCTGTACACCCTCCCCCTGCCATATGCGGTATGCACCGTACATGGCCCCTGAAGCCATTCAAGTGATGCCTTTAACCCTGGGCCCCAAATCCCAAACCCTGTAGGCATTATAGGGCTTAAAGCCCTAAACTCTGTAACCTAAACTCCAAGCCACAAACAGGCCCACTTGGAAGCCCTTCTGACTTAGCAAGTCTACTGAGTATTCCCTAGATGTTGATCCCCATAACTAACCCATAACCCAATTAACTACCCCGAAACCCTAAACCCTGAACCCTGAACCCTCAACCCTAAACCCCAAGCCGACCCCTAAACCGCAAAACCCCAAGCCGACCAGGACCCAGAGGCGCTACGCAAGACGTGGCCAAAGGAGCCCGGCTAACTGGCCTTATTCCTTGCCACGTGCTGTCTAGCCAGAGTGTCCAAAACAAAGGAATAGACCGGAATTCAAAACCTCCCTCCCTCTGGACATCGGTGAATGTAGGTTGCAGTATCATCCCCCCATTCAATGGCATGGCGCGGCGTGCCCCAAACCCTCAACCCCAAACCGTAGAATATAAACCCCAAACCCTATAAATCCCAAACCCCAAACCCTATAAACTCCAAACCCTATAAACCCCAAACCCCAAACCTTAAACCCCAAGCCCCAACCCGAAATCCTGCACACCAGGAGTGGCTGCAGCGCTTTTCGGAAGCCGACCTGGCGAGTTCACAGGCCGAGGCGGATGGCTGGGCTGGGAGCTCAGACTTGGGTTTTGGGTTTAGGGTTTAGGGTTTGGGGTTTGGGGTTTTAGGGTTTTAGGGTTTTTGGGTTTTTGGGTTTTAGGGTTTAGGGTTCAGGGTTTAGGGTCACGAGTACGGGGGGCTTGCAGGCGGCCTTGGCTCACAACTAGGGTACCCATGAACCTCCAAGTCGTCAGTTTTCATAATTATGGTCCCTTTTGTAAATAGCGACCCCAAAAGGAACCACAATTTGAGAGACGTGAGCAAGTAGAGTTTGCTGTATCACTTGTCAGAGTCCGCTGCAGTAGCCGATGTCTTGAGCCGTAGCCGCCATTTTGGCTGAAGACCTGCGTGTTTCGATTCCCGCCCTCCCTCCCTCGAGCTTCGATATCCTGCACAAGTTGGCATGTATCGACGCGAGGAGATCAACGTCAACAAGCTTCTGACGAGGCTGCCTAAGGCAGCGAGGACCAAGGTCCTTGCCAAGGAGTTTCTTGACGAGTGTTGCTGGGCAGCCCCCGTGGCACCCCTGTTGCCCTTCTTTGTGTGGTTCTAGGTTCTATCAGAAAGTAATCAACCCCCGTAAACCCTAAACCCTAAACCCTTGTTTTCAAGATGGTTGCTGGACTAGCAAGGTTGGGCAATTTTCAAGAAGCACGACGCTTTTCAGCACGAGAAGCTGGAGGGCGTGAGCCTTTGGAAAGCGCTTCTGGAGGCAGGGGGCAGGGTTTAGGGTTTGGGGTTTAGGGTTGAGGGTTTGGGGTGTAGGGCTTAGGGTTTGGGGCTTAGGGCTTAGGGCTTAGGGCTTAGGGCTTAGGGCTTAGGGCTTAGGGCTTAGGGCTTAGGGTTTAGGAAAAAGGGTTACACACCTACACCCGAAAGATCCTAAACGCCACAAAACCATCAGAAACCCTACGCCCCAAAGCGTCCCCAAAGCCATCCCAAACCCTGACCCCTAAACCATCAAACCCAAAACCCAACCCTAAACCTTAATTAAACCCTGAAGCCTAAACTCTGAACCCTAAACCCTAAAGCCTGAACCCTAAACCCTAAACCCTAAACCCTAGACCCTAAACCCTAAACCCTAAACCCTAAACCCTAAACCCTATAAACCTGAACCCTGCTGGAGGCGCTCCCCGAGTCCTACTCCCAAGCCATCCTCCAGAACCAGTATGGCTGGTCGTTGCAGCAAGATTCCGTGTATCTGAACTTCAGTTTAGGGCTTAGGGTTTAGGGTTTTGGGTTTTGGGTTTAGGGTTTTGGGTTTTGGGTTTAGGGTTTAGGGTTTAGGGTTTAGGGTTTGGGCTTCGGGCTTAGGGTTTAGGTTTAGGGTTTAGGGTTTAGGGTTTGGGCTTCGGGCTTCGGGCTTCGGGCTTCGGGCTTAGGGTTTAGGGTTTAGGGTTTAGGGTTTAAGGCCATTTAGGGTTTAGCGAAGTTACCAGAATCTGGGCAGCCCCTTTATATATGGTATATTCCTCCTTGATTGCGTTACAGAGGAATGTCTAGGAACATGTTCCGAGGGTTTTAGGGCTTATAGGGTTTAGGACCGACCTAGGTACGGATTCACCGGATGCGGCCGTGAAGGGGAGCCGGCCGTCTCCCTCATCAAGTTCCCCGAGTATGTGAAGTTCACCTTGGCACTGATCCTGCACAAGTATAGTGTCAATGGAAACTCAGTAGCTGAGTGAGTACACTTTGTACACTTCTTGGGGATACTATAAATCCCCTATAGACATGAAAGTGTGCACTTTTTTGGGGGGCTTATGAACTCAGCAACGAAGGAAAAGTCCTTGACTGCCGGATGGCTTTGAAGCCTCAGGAGCTGGATCACAGCAAGCGAAAGACAAAGGTCGTCGCTAGCCTGGGCCCGGCCTCCTGGAGTGAGGAGATGATCCCCAAGATGATCGAAGCTGGAACCGACATCTTCCGCTTGAACTGCTCACACCGCCGTGGTGGCGACTTCGAGCGCGTCTACCCCCTTATCAGGAAGTACGCGAGGATGCTTGGCCGACGCGTTGAGGTACTGGGAGACCTGCAGGGGCCCAAGTTCCGTGTTGGCGAGTTGGCTGGGGACCCCGTTCCTCTCGTGCCTTGGGGGCCAGATGAACCCTAAAATTGGGGTCATATACCCTATACTACCAGAATCCCTATTAAGGCATATGAACCATAAACCCTTTTAGGGTTCACTTCGTCCCCAAGGTGGATGGTGAGGTTGTGGAGTTCGGCATCTGCAAGGACGACAACGACCTCATCAAGCCTGGGCGCATCACAATGAAGCCGACCAAGGAACAGCTTGCACCTTAGTGTTGGTTTGTAGGGAATTTGGGAATGAGGTACCCTATTGATATTCCCTCAAAGGGTATATATAGGGTATTATGGGGTGATATATTACCAATTGCTTAAGAACCTCAAAAAATACATATACACACACATATATATATATATTTTACATATGTATTCTTCCTTGTAAGGGTGATTTTAGTTTTGGGGGTTCTTAAGCAAAGAGTCGTATAGGGTACCTCATTCCCTCTTTCCCTACGAACCAACAGCTAAGGCACTGGTGAAGGCATGCAAGGTGGGGATTGATCTGCTCATTGAGGATGGCATCATGAAGGTGAACGTCGTAGAGAAGGTTTCTGACACCGAGCTGAAGGTGAAGGTCGTCCGCGGCGGCAAGCTCAAGGCCCGCAAAGGCGTGAACGTGCCCGACTGCGAGATCGACTGCGCGGCCCTGACGGAGAAGGACATCGAGGATGCGGAGTACCTGCTTCAGCTGGACCCGCCGGTGGAGTACATCTGCGTGTCCTTTGCCCAAAAGGGTCAAGATCTGCAGGAGCTTGTCGACATCATGGATCGCCTCAAGGTTCCGGCCGAGAAGCGGCCGAAGATCTGCCCCAAGATCGAGAAGCCGCAAGCCCTGACGAACATCGAGGCTTGGTAGCCCTGTGGTACCCTTTTTCCCTTTTTTGGGTTCAAGGCTCCCTTATCAAGTAACCAGCCCAAAAAAGGGTGCCCTTATTCTACGATGGTTACCCTAAACCCTAAACCCTAAACCCTAAACCCTAAACCCTAAACCCTAAACCCTAAACCCTAAACCCTAAACCCTAAACCCTAAACCCTAAACCCACCAAGGAGGGCATCATCGAGAAGTCTCAGGCCCTCATGGTGGCCAGGGGCGACTTAGGTGGGAGTTTGCGAAAATGGGGGGAATACTAAACTAGACCCCCAAATAGTACTTGAAGGTTCATGGTGCTTACTAACCACTTATAACTGTACTTACAACCCTACTTATGATACCCCTAAAGGGCCTTATAGGGTTATCCCAATTATAAGTAGGGTTATAAGTACAGTTATAAGTGGTTAGTAAGTCCCATGAACCGCCAAGTAGGATCCCCTTATAGTTAGGACCCCAAGAAGGTACCTCTCACATCGTAAACCCCAGGTGTGGAGCTTGAGCTGGAGCGGGTCCCCTTCGCCCAAAAGCTGCTCATCGCTCGTGCCAAGAAGGCCTTAAAGTAGCTGAATGAGTACACTTTGCCCTAAACCCTAAACCCTAAACCCTAAACCCCCCAACAGAACTGAAAGCGCACGCCTCTTTTGGGGTTATATGAACTCAAGCGACTAAGAGGCCGGCCTCTTCGTCATCAACGCTACGCAGATGGTGGAGAGCATGATCGAGAATCCCGTGCCCACCCGGGCAGAGGTGGGGGTTTAGGGTTTAGGGTTAAGGGTTTAGGGTTTAGGGTTAGAATAGGAGTACCCTTTCCGGGGTTTCTTCAAAAAGGGATTATAGAGAATTTCGGGGTAATCAAAGGGGTACCCTTTTTGGGGTTCCCTCAAAAGGATTATAGAGTGCTTCGGGGGTATCAAATGGGTACAAACCCTGAACCTTCAACCCCAAACCCTAAACCCATACCCCGCAAAAAGGGTACCCCTATTTTCCTTATTATAAGAACCCCCCCCCCCCCCCCCCCAAATACTGTAGTCCTTATGAAAGGAAATCCCCCCCTTAACCCGCCAGGTGAGCGACTTGCAGAATAAGATGGATACAAAACCTCAACCCTCAACCCTCAACCCTCAAACCCCCCAAACCCCAAACCCCAAACCCCAAACCCCAAACCCCAAACCCCAAACCCCAAACCCCAAACCCCAAACCCCAAACCCCAAACCCCAAACCCTAAACCCCCAAACCCAAACCCTAAACCCTAAACCCTAAACTCTAAACCCATACCCCCCCCCCCCCATTTTCGGAACCTCCCCAGGTGAGCGACTTGCAGAATGCCGTCTTCGACGGCTGCGACGCCGTGATGCTCTCTGGCGAGGCGCGGGCTTCAACAGGCCTTTCTCTACCCAGGATGGGGGTTTAGGGTTTAGGGTTTAGGGTTTAGGGTTTAGGGTTTAGGGTTTAGGGTTTAGGGTTTAGAGTTCCTTGGGGACGGAATGAACCCTAAAAGGGTTTATGGTTCATATGCCTGAATAGGGATTCTAGTAGTATAGGGGTAGATGACCCCAATTTTAGGGTTCATTTGGTCCCCAAGGTTACCCATAATCAACGCGATAAAGGGCCTTTTTTAAGGGGGTATAGGGTACAATAGCCCGTCCTGGTATCACACCCCCAAGACAGTACAAGCTTCATGATGGGAACACCCAAAATCAATAGGAGCCCTAAACCCTAAAACCCCTAAAACCCCTAAAACCCCTAAACCCCTAAACCCCTAAACCCCTAAACCCCTAAACCCCTAAACCCCTAAACCCCTAAACCCTAAACCCAATATAACCCTAAACCCTATACCCTATACCCTATACCCCATACCCTATAAACCCTAACCCTACAAACCCCAAACCCCCAGGCTGCCAGCGGGAAGTTTCCATGCGAGTCCGTCAAGGCTGAGGCCGATGCGGCCCTGGAGGCAGAGACGGTCCGCGACTTCCTGAAGCCGCAGGTTCGGGGGTTTAGGGTTTAGGGTTTAGGGTCAGGGTTCAGGGTTTAGGGTTTGGGGTTTAGGGTTTAGGCTGAGAAGTAGGGCTAGAAGTAGGGCTATAAGCTTATACCCTCAGTGTGGTTTTCAGTAGGTTAGAAGTACCCTGAGTAGAGCTATAAATAGAGTACCCTAAATGGGTTTAGAAGTAGAGTAGAAGTAGGCTCATCAGGCACCTTGAATGGGGTTGTTTAGGCAAGTACTGCCCATCCTCCTAACCCTAGAAGTCTAGCTACCCCCCCCATGAACCTCCAAAAGCAGGTGCTGGATGGGGTCGTCGTCGATGAGGCCAACAAGCCCAGGGAGCTGGATGACAGCAAGCGGGCGACCAAAGTCGTTGCGTCCCTGGGCCCGGCCTCCTGGAGTGAGGAGATGATCCCCAAGATGATCGAAGCCGGAACCAACATCTTCCGCTTAAACTGCTCGCACCGCCGCGGCGGCGACTTCGAGCGCGTCTACCCTCTGATCCGCAAGTGCGCCAAGGAGATGGGGAAGACCGTCGAGTGCCTGGGTGACCTCCAGGGGCCCAAGTTTCGCGTGGGCGAGCTGGCGGGAGACCCCGTGGAGCTGAAAAACGGCGACGTCCTGGAGTTTGGCATCTCCAAGGATTAAGGGGTTATAAGAAGGGACCGTTAATCTTCTTCCCCTGTACATCCCCTATATATACACACGTTATATAGTAACTATGTACCTAAGTAGCCCTTAAATAACCCCCATGCAACCCCTTAGGCCCCTTATAAGGGTCCCTCCTTTCGCCGCTTGAGAGGATGACAATGACAACATCCGCCCTGGGCGCATCACCATGAAGCCCACGACAGAGCAGACGGCTTTGGTGAAGGCCTGCAAACCGGGCACCCCTCTCCTTCTAGAGGCACTTTGTCATACTTGGGTAACATTTTACAAATCTTTAGGGCAATTCAAATCAGTACGGCATAGAAGTTCAAGTCTTTAAGGTATTCCCAAGAAGGCATAGAAACTCAAGGTTTGTATCTTTTTCCAACTTTTAAATATCTTCCCAACCATGAACTCGAGGATGGAATCATGGAAGTCATGGTCGTGGAGAAGTGTTCTGAGAGCGAGCTGAAGGTGGAAGTGACGCGAGGCGGCAAGCTCAAGGCCAGGAAGGGTTTAGGGTTTAGGGTTTAGGTTTAGGGTTTAGGGTTTAGGGTTAGAGGGTTTAGGCTTCTAGGGTTATAGCGTTATGGGGTTTGGGGCAAGCTGAAGGCCAGGAAGGGCGTGAACGTGCCAGACGTGGAGATCGACTGCGCGGCCCTGACAGAGAAGGACATCGAGGACGCGGAGTTCCTGCTGAAGCTGGATCCCCCCATCGAGTACATCTGCGTGTCCTTTGCCCAGAAGGGCCAAGATCTGCAGGAGCTCATCGACATCATGGACCGCCTCAAAGTTCCCCAAGAGACTTGGTGGCCCAGGGGTACCCTTTACTTTTTTTTGGTTATGCGGGTTCCCTTATAATGATATGGTTTTATGGGCCTACTAAGGAGAAGAGGCCCAAGATTTGTCCGAAGATCGAGACTTACTTCTCCAACAGCTGAGCTTTTAAACTTTTTTAGGTTTCTCATTTAGTAGGAATAATCAAGCCTTAAACCCTAAACCCTAAACCCCAAACCCTAAACCCTAAACCCTAAACCCTTTTTTTCCCCGTTTTTTAAATTGGAGAAGTAAAGGAGAAGCCCCAGGCCTTCACGAACATCGAGGGCATCATCGAGAAGTCTCAGGCGCTGAGGGTGGCGTAGGGTTTAGGGTTTAGGGTTTAGGGTTTAGGGTTTAGGGTTTAGGGTTTAGGGTTTAGGGTTTAGGGTTTAGGGTTTAGGGTTTAGGGACTTCAGGCGCTGATGGTGGCCCGTGGCGACTTGGGGGTGGAGCTCGGGCTCTGCCGAGTACCGTTCCTTGGGGCATGAGCCCTAAAATTGGGGTCATAGACCCTATACTACTATAATCCCTATTTAGGGTTTAGGGTTTAGGGTTTTGAGGGTTTTGAGGGTTTTTAGGGTTCATGTCGTCCCCTAGGTTTGCACAGAAGCTGCTGATCCAGCGCGCCAAGCAAGCTGGGCTTTTCGTGATCACCGCCACGCAGATGGTGGAGAGCATGATTGAGAACCCAGTGCCGACTCGCGCAGAGGTGTCCGATCTCATGAACGCGGTCTCTTCGTCATAGTTGGGTAACATTTTACATTCTTAAGGGTACTTAAACCCAATAAGGAATAGAAATTATGTTTTAATACTATCCCAACCATGAACTAGGTCTGGGACGGCACCGATGCCGTGATGTTGTCTGGTGAGGCAGCCAGCGGCAAGTATCCGTGCGAGGCGGTCATGGCCGAAGCATCCGCGACGCGCGAGGCAGAGACCGTGAAGCACCGCTTGCAGCAGGCCTGCCCCTTCGTGGCCATCAACAGCAAGATGCCGCTGCGCCCGCCGAAGATGCTGAACTGCGGCATGGGCCTGAAGAGGCAGGAAACGGACCACAGCAAGAGGAAGACCAAGGTCGTCGCTAGCCTGGGACCTGCCTCTTGGAGCGAGGAGATGATCCCCAAGATGATCGAAGCCGGCACCGACATCTTCCGCCTGAACTGCTCCCACCGCCGCGGCGGCGACTTCGAGCGCGTCTACCCCCTGATCCGCAAGGCGGCCAAGGAGCTCGGCAAGAAGGTGGAGTGCCTCGGCGACTTGCAGGGGCCAAAGTTCCGTGTGGGAGAGCTTGCTGGCGATCCAATCCCGCTGAAGGATGGGGAGGTCCTGGAGTTTGGCATCTGCAACTTAGTAGCTGAGTGAGTACACTTTACACCTTTTGGGATACTGTATATCCTCTTATAGAACTGAAAGTGTACACTTTTTTGGGCCTTATGAACTCAGCAACTAAGGCAAGGATGACAACGACATGATCCGGCCCGGACGCATCACCATGAAGCCCACGACGGAGCAGAACGCCCTGGTTCGAGCTTGCAAACCTGGCACTCCCTTGCTCCTCGAGCCTTGGGGAAATGAACCCTCACAGGGCCTATGTGGTTCATATTACCTTAATTGGAAATGTAGTAGTTTAGGGTGACCCTCTAAAGGGCTTATGGTTCATTTACCTTAATACGAACTAGAGTCCCTAAGGGGGTTTAGGGTTCATATTGCCTTAATAGGAATTAGAGTAGTATATATACCTGAATAGGACTTAGAGTAGTAAATAGGGCGACCCCACATTTTAAATTTCATGTGGTCCCCAAGGAAGATGGCATCATGGAGGTCAAGGTGGTTGAGAAGTGCTCCGACACGGAGCTCAAGGTGCAGGTGGTCCGTGGAGGCCCCCCAGAGCCTCGCAATGCCCCCTTAGTTTAGGAGTGTAGTCCTTAAACCATACAGGGAACCCTCTTATGTCTTAAGGAATAACCCTAAACCCTAAACCCTAAACTCTAAACCCTAAACCCTAAACCCTAAACCCTAAACCCTAAACCCTAAACCCTAAACCCTAAACCCTAAACCCTAAACCCTAAACCCTAAACCCTATACCCTAAACCCTAAACCCTAAACCCTAAACCCGTATTTGAGGGGTATTGGTGGCCCGTGGAGGCAAGCTGAAGGCCCGCAAGGGCGTCAATGTGCCGGAGGTGCAGATCGATTGCGCGGCCCTGACGGAGAGCCCCTGGTTCTTCGTAGGGAATGAGGGAGTTAGGGTTACATATATATATATATATATATACATGTATAAATATAAATATATACATAAAATATAAATATAAGTATAATCAATATATATAGATAGATATATATATATATATATATATATGTATATATATATATGTATGTATACCGTTCAAGGGATTCTATAGGGCACCTCATTCCCTCATTCCCTACCAAGAACCAGCCAGGAGAAAGACATCGAGGATGCGGAGTTCCTGCTGAAGCTGGACCCCCCCATCGAGTACATCTGCGTGTCCTTCGTGCAGAAGGCCGAGGACCTTCAGGAGCTGATCAACATCATGGACCGGCTCCAGATCCCTCAGGAGAAGCGGCCCAAGATTTGCCCCAAGATCGAGAAGCCTCAGGCCCAGTGGTTTAGGGCTTAGGGTTTAGGTTTAGGGTTTAGGGTTTAGGGTTTAGGGTTTAGGGTTTAGGGTTTAGGGTTTAGGGGGCTTGCGGCTTGTGAACTCAGCAACCAAGCAGGCCCTGACCAACATCGAGGGCATCATCGCCAAGTCCCAGGCGCTAATGGTGGCCCGGGGCGATCTGGGTGTGGAGCTGGAGCTGGAGCCTTGGGCACGAAATGAACCCTAAAAGGGTTTATGGTTCATATGCCTTAATAGGGATTCTAGTAGTACAGGGTGTATGACCCCCAATTTTAGGGTTCCTTTGGTCCCCAAGGAGAGGGTGCCCTTTGCGCAGAAGCTCTTGATCCGGAGAGCGAAGGATGCCGGGCTTTTCGTCACTAGGCCCTTGAGACACCCTAAACCCTAAACCCTAAACCCTAAACCCTAAACCCTAAACCCTAAACCCTAAACCCTAAACCCTAAACCCTAGGCTCATATTTCAGGATATGTTAAGGGGGTCTTTAAGGACCATCCTAGGTCATCAATGCCACGCAGATGGTGGAGAGCATGATTGAGCAGCCAGTGCCTACTCGTGCGGAGGTCAGCGACCTGCAGAACGCCGTCTGGGACGGAGCGGATGCTGTCATGCTCAGCGGGGAGGCGGCCAGCGGCAAGTACCCCTGTGCCTTGGGGACCAAATGAACCCTAAAATTGGGGTCATATACCCTGTACTACTAGAATCCCTATGAAGGCATATGAACCATAGACCCTTTTAGGGGTTCATGTCGTCCCCAAAAGGCGAGGCCGTGCGCGCTGAAGCAGATGCCGCCCTGGAAGCCGAGAGCGTGAAGCACCTCCTCGTCCCCCAGGTCTATGACGACTACGTCGTGGATGAGGCGAAGCTTGGTAGCCCAGAGGTACCCTTGATTTTTTTTTGTTATGGGCTCCCTTGTAACATGACGAACCCCCAAAAAAGGGTGCCCTTTATTAAAATGTGGTTGCTAGTAGCTCTAAACCCTAAACCCTAAACCCTAAACCCTAATCAGATGGTTACTGGGCTACCAAGGAACAAGCCGCGTGAGCTGGATGACAGCCGAAGGAGGACGAAGATCGTGGCCAGCCTTGGCCCTGCATCCTGGAGCGATGCTTGGTCGGTTTAGGGTTTAGGGTTTAGGGTTTAGGGGGTTCCAGGCTCCCTTATCAGAGTAGCCAACCAGCCAAACCCAAAGGGGGTACCCTTATACCATAACGTGCTTGCTGGGCTACCAAGGATGACATGTTGGCCAAGATGATTCAGGCTGGTACGGACATCTTCCGCCTGAACTGCTCACACCGGCGCGGAGGCGATTTCGAGAGCCTTGGGGACCAAATGAACCCTAACATTGGGGTCATATACCCTATACTACTAGAGAATCCCTATTAAGGCATATGAACCATAAGCCCTTTTAGGGTTCATTTCGTCCCCAAGGAGAGTCTACCCTGCCATCCGGCGCCACTCGAAGGAGCTCGGCGTCAACGTCGAGTGCCTGGGTGACCTGCAGGGCCCTAAGTTCCTTAGGAGCTGAATGAGTACACTTCCACTTTTTGGGATACGATCATCCCCTCTAGAATCGAAAGTGTATACTTTTTGGAGATTATGAACTCAGCAACTAAGGTTCCGTGTTGGCGAGCTTGCGGGTGACCCGATCGAGCTGAAGAACGGCGACGTGCTGGAGTTCGGAATCTGCAAGGACTAAGGGGTATAAGGAGGGATTATTCCCCTCCCTAACCCCTATTGATACCTTAGATACCCTAAACCCTTACCCTAAACCCTAAACCCTAAATAACCCCTCTGCAAGGACGACAACGACCTTATCAAGCCTGGCCGGATCACCATGAAGCCCACCGTCGAGCAGAATGCCCTGGTGGAAGCCTGCAAGGTCGGCATAGTGGCAGAGTAGGTATCCTTCAACCTCTTGGGGTTTGGGGTTTAGGGTTTAGGGTTTAGGGTTTAGGGTTTAGGGTTAATCTTTAAGCTGTTGGCCCAGAGTACTCAGCAACCAGGTCGGCACGTTGCTGCTCATTGAAGACGGGCTCATGGAAGTGAAGGTGACAGAGACTTCGTACTAGAGGCAGGTAACCTTTTGACCTCTTTGGGGGCATCCTATCCCCAAAGGTGAAACCTGTAGTTCTCCCATAGGGTACTGGACAACAGAGATAGGTAACCTTTGAACTTTTTGGGGGGCGTTCTGTTCCCTACGTAATCCCGAAGGTTATAACCCTTAGTCTTTCTAGGAGACTGGACAACAGACTAGGTCGGCCCCTTGGGATATTCGGTATTTTCCCTGATTGTGTTTAAGAACCCTAAACCCTAAACCCTAAACCCTAAACCCTAAACCCTTTTCCGAGGGCTCCTTTTAAGAAGGGGGGCATCCTAGGAGAAGATCTCTGCCACGGAGCTGAGGGTCGAAGTGACCCGAGGTGGGAAGCTGAAGGCCCGCAAGGGTTTAGGGTTAGGGTTTAGGGTTTAGGCTAGGGTTTAGGGTTTAGGGTTTAGGGTTTAGGGTTTAGGGTTTAGGGTTTAGGGTTTAGGGTTTAGGATTTGGGGGCAAGCTGAAGGCCCGCAAGGGCGTCAACGTGCCCGACTTGGAGATCGACTGCGCCGCCCTGACACTGGGGCTTTTAGATTGAGGGGTTAGGGTTTAAGGTTTAGGGTTTAAGGGTTTAGGGTTGAGGGTTTAGGGTTTAGGGTTTAGGGCTACTTGGACTTCCATGGGTAGCTATAAGTAGGGTTATAAGCACCCTAAATAGGGTTATAGGTATAGTTAACATACAGCTAACCCGTCTAGAGAGCCCAGAGTAGGCGCTTATTCCCTGTTTTAGGGTTTGTGGTTTAGGGTTTAGGGTATCTGGGCCCAGAGTAAGCCCTTATTCCCCTGTTTTTTGTTTGGGGGGTTTAGGTTTCCCTATAAACTCCTTCAGACCAAATAGGGCACCCTTTTTGTTCCTAGGTTACTCTTGGGTCCACTAGTAGTACAGGTAGGAAACCTTGGACTTTTTTGGGGGATTACAATCCCGAAATCAACTTTGTAGTAGAGGTAGGAATAGGCATATTTCAGTACATTCCCTAAACAACCTCGGTACTAGAGGTAGACAGCCTTTAACATTTTGTTTGGGGGGTACTACCCTACGGGTCCATGTACCTGAAAAGGGAATCCTATACAGGGACTTTAGGGCCCAAGTGTCTACTAATGTGGTACATGGCCCCTTAAGTCTACATTCCCTAACCTTCAGTCTGTGTGTTGGAGTACTATACTTTAATGTTTTTTTTGTTCTCGGTTACTACTAAAGCTACTTATACGCAAAAAAGTACGTACTTCTCCAGGGTCTACTCCTAATCAGGGAAGTTCCCCTTTAGGAGAGCGGACAACTGAGGACAGCGAAGGACATCGAGGACGCAGAGTATCTTCTGCAACTGGACCCTCCCATCGAGTCTTGGTAGCCCATGCCCTACCATTTGTGCCACACTTTTTGTTGTTGGTCCTTTTAGGTTCCCTTCTAAAGCTAGCCCTAAACCCTAAACCCTAAACCCCTAAACCCTTGTTAGAATTGTATGACTCCTCGGGCTAACGCAAGGAGTACATCTGCGTGTCCTTCGTGCAGAAGGGCCAAGATCTTCAGGAGCTGATTGACATCATGGACCGCCTGAAGATCCCGCCGGAGCGCCGCCCGAAGATCTGCCCCAAGATCGAGAAGCCTCAGGCTCAGTAGTTTAGGGTTTAGGGTTTAGGGTTTAGGGGCTTTTCGACTAAGCAGGCCCTGACCAACATCGACGGGATCATCGCCAAGTCCCAGGCGCTGATGGTGGCCCGGGGCGACCTGGGCGTGGAGCTGGGCTTGAACCGGGTGCCCTTTGCGCAGAAGCTTGGCAGCCCACTGGTGCCCCTTTTTTCCCTTTTTTTCGGGGGGGGGGGGGGGGGGTAGGGTTTAGGGTTTAGGGTTTAGGGTTTAAAGGGTTTAAAGGGTTTAAAGGGTTTAAAGGGTTTAAAGGGTTTAAAGGGTTTAAAGGGTTTTAAGGGTTTTAAGGGTTTTAAGGGTTTAAAGGGTTTAAAGGGTTTAAAGGGTTTAAAGGGTTTAAAGGGTTTAAAGGGTTTAAAGGGTTTAAAGGGTTTAAAGGGTTTAGGGTTTAAAGGGTTTAGGGTTTAGGGTTCCCTTATAAAGTAACCAACCCCAGAAAACGGGTGCCCTTGTTAGAATATGGTTACGGAGCTACCAAGGAAGCTGCTCATCGCACGGGCCAAGCAGGCCGGTCTCTTCGTGATCAACGCCACCCAGGTGGTGGAGAGCATGATCAAGAATCCCGTGCCCACCCGTGCAGAGGTCAGCGATGTGTGCAACGCTGTCTGGGATGGAGCGGATGCCGTGATGCTGTCTGGGGAAGCAGCCAGCGGCGACTTCCCATGCGAAGCAGTGATGGCTGAAGCCTCCGCAGCGCGAGAGGCGGAATCCGTGAAGCATCGCCTGAGACGCGCATGCCCGCCCGTGGAATCCGGCGCAATCGTTGCTCCAATGCTGCACGTGAGCATGGGCAACAAGAAGCAGGAAACCAATCACTCCCTTCGCAAGAGCAAGGTTGTGGCAAGCCTGGGCCCGGCATCCTGGAGCGAGGAGATGATCCCCAAGATGATCGAAGCCGGCACCGACATCTTCCGCCTGAACTGCTCCCACCGCCGCGGCGGCGACTTCGAGCGCGTCTATCCGCTGATCCGCAAGGCGGCCAAGGAGCTCGGCAAGAAGGTGGAGTGCCTCGGCGACTTGCAGGGGCCAAAGTTCCGTGTCGGAGAGCTTGCTGGTGATCCCATCCAGCTCAACAACGGTGATGTTCTGGAGTTCGGCATCAGCAAGGATGACAACGACAACATCAGGCCCGGGCGCATCACCATGAAGCCCACAACGGAGCAGAATGCCTTGATCGCCGCCGCTAAGGTGGGAACCGACCTCCTGCTGGAAGATGGCATCATGACACTTAGTAGCTGAAAGAGTACACTTTATACACTTAGACCTGAAAGTGTACACTTTTTGGGGGCTTCTGAACTCAGCAACCCCTAAACCCTAAACCCGAAACCCTAAACCCTAAACCCTAAACTGGAGGGGGGGGGGGGTTGTTTCCGGTGTGTGTGTTCTGGTTGAGGGAGAATGTGGGAGGCCACTTTGACGGCAACATTTCCTACCCTGAATGCCACTGGCAATCTCCCCGTGGTGAGCCTAAGTCTTACCCTGGGGTTCTTCTTTCTGGTTTTTCCGAGACGCACTTAATGACCCCGCTGTGCTGTGGCTAGTCGGGTGCCAAAAAAAAACCCTAAACTAAGGAAAGTGAATGTCGTTGAGAAGCTCAGCGACACCGAGCTGAAAGTCAAGGTCGTCCGCGGGGGCAAGCTCAAGGCCTGCAAGGGTTTAGGGTTTAGGGTTTAGGGTTTTAGGGTTTTAGGGTTTTTTGGGTTTTTTGGGGTTAATTATAGGGTTTAGAGCAAGCTCAAGGCCCGCAAGGGGGTCAACGTGCCAGATGTGGAGATCGACTGCGCCGCACTCACCACCAAGGACATCGAGGATGCGGAGTTCCTGCTGCAGCTGGATCCCCCCATCGAGTACATCTGCGTCTCCTTTGTGCAGAAAGGACAGGACCTGCAGGAGCTCATCGACATCATGGACAGGCTCAACATTCCGCAGGAGAAGCGGCCCAAGATTTGCCCCAAGATCGAGAAGCCGCAGGCCCTGACCAACATCGACGGGATCATCGCCAAGTCCCAGGCTCTCATGGTGGCCCGGGGCGACCTGGGTGTGGAGCTGGAGCTCGAGAGGGTGCCCTTTGCGCAGAAGCTCTTGATCCGCAAGGCCAAGGACGCTGGACTCTTTGTCATCAACGCCACGCAGATGGTCGAGAGCATGATCGAGAACCCTGTCCCGACCAGGGCAGAGGTCAGCGATCTCCAAAACGCCATCTGGGACGGTGCCGATGCAGTGATGCTTTCCGGAGAGGCCGCCAGCGGCAAATACCCTTGCGAGTCTGTGGCAGCGGAGGCGGCGGCTGCCCTCGAGGCCGAGTCAGTGAAAGATTTGCTGATGCCACGCCTGGGCATCGACTATTGCTGCGACGAGGGCAACAAGCCCAGGGAGATGGACGACTCAAAACGCCGCACCAAGGTTGTGGCAAGCCTGGGCCCGGCGTCCTGGAGCGAGGAGATGATCCCCAAGATGATCGAAGCCGGCACCGACATCTTCCGCCTGAACTGCTCCCACCGCCGCGGCGGCGACTTCGAGCGCGTCTATCCGCTGATCCGCAAGGCGGCCAAGGAGCTCGGCAAGAAGGTGGAGTGCCTCGGCGACTTGCAGGGGCCAAAGTTCCGTGTCGGAGAGCTTGCTGGTGATCCCATCCCGCTTGAGAATGGCGACGTTTTGGAGTTTGGCATCAGCAAAGATGACAATGACAACATCAGGCCCGGGCGCATCACCATGAAGCCCACAACGGAGCAAAACGCGCTGGTGAAGGGCTGCCAGGTGGGGGGTTTACGATCACAATCGACCCCTAACATTAGACCCCGAAGTAGTGGGATCCCCTTATAATAAGGACCCCAATAAGGTACCCCCTAAACCCTAAACCTTAAAAACCCCGAAACCCTCAACCCTAAACCCTAAACACTAACTTCGTAAACCCCCAGGTGGGCACCACGCTGCTCATTGAGGATGGCATCATGGAAGTGAGTGTCGTTGAGAAGCTCAGCGACACGGAGCTGAAGGTGAAGGTCGTCCGTGGAGGCAAGCTGAAGGCCAGGAAGGGTTTAGGGTTTAGGGTTTAGGGTTAGGGTTTAGGGTTTAGGGTTTAGGGTTTAGGGTTTAGGGTTTAGGGTGTAGGGTTCAGAGCTGAAGGCCAGGAAGGGCGTGAACGTGCCGGACATCGAAATCGACTGCGCGGCCCTCACGGTCAAAGACATCGAGGACGCCGAGTTCTTGCTGCAGCTGGACCCTCCCATCGAGTACATCTGCGTCTCCTTCGCCCAGAAGAAGCAAGACTTGCAGGAGCTCATCGACATCATGGACAGGCTCAAGATTCCTGCAGAGAAGAGGCCCAAGATTTGCCCGAAGATTGAGAAGCCCCAGGCACTGACCAACATCGAAGGCATCATCGAGAAGTCGCAGGCCTTGATGGTTGCTACTTAGGAGCCCAATAGGTGAGCTTTAAAACTTTTTGGGTATACTAAACCCCTCCAAAAGAAAGGTTTAACCTTTTTTGGGCCAAGGTATTGGGCAACTAAGGCTAGAGGTGATCTTGGTGTGGAGCTGGGACTCAACCGCGTGCCCTTTGCCCAGAAGCTTCTGATCAAGAAGGCTAAGGACGCTGAGTAGCTGAGTGAGTACACCTTACACTTTTTGGGGGATACTGTAATCCCCTATAGAACTTCCTGAACCCTAAACCCTAAACCCTAAACGCTAAACGCTAAACCCTAAACCCTAAACCCTAAACCCTAAACCCTAAACCCTAAACCCTAAACCCTAAACCCTAAACCCTAAACCCTAAACCCTAAACCCTAAACCCTAAACCCTAAACCCTAAACCCTAAACCCTAAACCCTAACCCTAAACCCTAAACCCTAAACCAACTAAGGACGCCGGTCTCTTCGTCATCACGGCCACGCAGATGGTGGAGTCCATGATCGAGGCGCCCGTCCCGACGAGAGCCGAGGTCTCCGACCTCTGCAATGCCGTGTGGGACGGTACAGATGCGGTGGCTTAGTAGCTGGTAGGGTTTAGGGTTTAGGGTTTAGGGTCTTGCAGATACCATAATCCCCTATACAACTGAAGGTGTACACTGTTTGGGGGCTTATGAACTCAGCAACTAAGGTGATGCTTTCTGGAGAGGCCGCCAGTGGCAAGTATCCCTTGGAGGCCGTCATGGCAGAGGCGTCCGCGGCCCGGGAAGCGGAGTCCGTGGAGCATCGACTTTTTCCCGCCGTCCCGAATGTGGTCTGAGATCCAAGAGGCGACGGTGCGAGGACCACCCAAACGGGCTGAGTCCCATGCAAGATGGTCCGAGTCAGGCAGAAACGCAAGAAAGCATGCTGCAGAGAGTGGAGCATGACGGTCGAGAGTTTGCACAGGGCGCAGCTGAAAGGCAGGACTCGGACGGCACATATACCAGACATAGCTATCTTCAATATTCTCGTTACGCTGGCTCAGCACGTGCGGATAGCCTGCACGTGCTGAGCTCAGAGAGGCTTTGCCTAATGGCGGAGGCAGATGCATGCTCAGTGCTAAAATTGAGAGTGTTAACGAGTGCGCCTGCAGGACAGCGAGCCGGACAGCCAAACCAGAGAAATCCCGTAAATAGAGCGTCTTGCTGCATACATTGAATCCCTTCCCCCGAAAAATAACCCCCCTTCCCCCCTAATATTGAAACCCCCCCAAAAAAACACACACACACACACACGAATGTAACTACAATCGGAGTGGGGGGTAGGGCGGGGGTTCAATATTCCGGGGAGAAGATTTCCAAGCCGCACCGTTGCCATCCGAAGCCAGAGAGAATCCGAGCGGAGCGCGAAGGCAAGCCATCTCTTGAAGGCGCGCAAGGAATGAGATTGGCCAAAAAAGGAAACCACATCTATGCTCCGAAGGCCTTGCCATTAAAGGAGCCCAAGTGATTATATATGTATATATGTATATATATATTATTCTAATGTCGCGTTACAGTTCTGCATTTTTGGCAACTGTATACAGATGATAGACCAAGAATCCCCATGTGAGCAAGTTCAACCTCTGGAACACCCTAAACCCTAAACCCTAAACCCTAAACCCTAAACCCTAAACCCTAAACCCTAAACCCTAAACCCATCACCAGCTGAAACCGGCCTCCAGTTCACCCCCGCCGGAGCAACACGCCCTCCACGCCGCACGGAAGAAACTTACCCCCAAATGTACCTAAATCTTAAGCCCTAAATTCTAGACCCTAGACCCTAAACCCTAGACCCTAAACCCTAGACCCTTATAAACCCTAGACCCTAAACCCTAAACCCTAAACCCTAAACCCTAAGCCCTAAGCCCCAAAGTCTCCGTGAGGCCTCAGAGGTTCGGGGCGCCATGCAGTTCACCTGGAAAGGCTACAGGACACCACGTGTCGGGGTTTAGGGTTTAGGGTTTAGGGTTTAGGGTTTAGGGTTTAGGGTTTAGGGTTCAGGGTTCAGGGTTCAGGGTTCAGGGTTTGCGGTGTGGGGTGTAAAGACTGAATCCAGAGCCTGCTAAGCCCAACTTCCTGTTGGGGACTTTTGGTTATGGGGTACACTGGTACAACTTAAGTTCTCGTGCCCCCCTAAAGAATATCCTTGGTGATTTGCTTTCTGGGTTTGGGCAGAACAGGTTTTTGTTCCTACACCCTAAACCCTAGCCCTAAACCCTAAACCCTCCCAAACCCCATTTTAGCCCCTAGACTAGATGGGGACTCTGGAGCCTTGCTTGCTACACTTCTTGGAAGCCCTGTTGATTTCTTCGTAAGAAGTAGGGTTCAGGGTACATAGCGTTTAGGGTTTAGGGTTCCGGGTTCAAAAAAGGGTTTGGGTTAATAAGTTGGGTTGTCCGTTCAGGTTTTAGGGTTTAGGGGAGGCGGGCCTATTTAGTGGTTGTTGTATCAGGGTTTGATCTTTCTAGGGACCTTTCTGAGTCTGCGAGAGAGAGAGAGAGGGACCTTTCTGATGAGCTAAGGGCTAAAGTCATAAACCCTGAATCTTACCCTAAACCCTGCACCCGAAATCCCACAAGCTTTAAAGAGAACTACGGTCTTCGGCCCCAAGCCCCAAAATGGTAGAACAAGGGCCGTATTAAACCCACTTTCAGAATCCGAAACGCTAGCCCTAGAAACCCTAAAAACTAACCCTCAGAAGTGGACGCTGTGAGAAACCCTAAACCCTAAACCTTAAACCCTAAACCCTAAACCCTCCTGACCCCCGCTGATGCTGCGCGCAGGGAGAAGGCCTGGGGCCACGACGAGGTGATGGCAGCCTCAGGCCGCATCAAGGCTCGCGGAGCCTCGTAGGGTTTAGGGTTTAGGGTTAGGGAGTTTAGGGTTAGGGAGTTTAGGGAGTTTAGGGTTTAGGGCAGTATAGGGTTCAGGGTTTCGATTCGGGTGAAGCGTCGAAGGTTCAGGTCAATTATTGTTCTTCGGTTTCTGATTCAAAGAGCATCAGACCCCTTATCTAAGGAATTGGCCTCGGTTGAGAATCCTTGCTTCAAAACCCTGACAAACACGATCGCTGACGTAGTAAGCGGGCTAAGGCCCTCTGCACCTGTCAGTTGGCTTGTTCAGGACCCTGAACCCTAAAGCCTAAACCCTAAACCCTAAACCCTAATCTAAACCCTGAACCCTTTAAGGCATTCGTGGTTCGTGAGCATCTACTGCCCCTTTTCGCGTCAGCATGCCGCGCCAGGATTGGTGCAAAATGGCATGGCGACCCAGTGCGTTAGCAACTTGCGTGTGGTTCAGGCCCAGGGACTCCAATACCCCGCAATTAAGGAAAAACCCTTGCAATATAAGATGGTTCCTTACCCCAAACCCTAAGCCCTGAGCCCTAAACCCTAAACCCTAAACCCTAGATGAGTATTGGAGTCTCTGGGTGTGCAGTTTGCATCATGGTGGGAGCCTCATTGCAGAAGCAGGCATGCAAGAAGTCCGCATGAACCTTGACATTGATGCAATTACTATATCCCCCTCGGGAATTATTTGCGATTTTTGCTTATATGGATCCCAAGAGGATAAACATATTATTTTTATTAAGGTTCTAAGGGGAGTATAGATAAAAGTTTTGCATTCGGTGGGCGTGTGCAAGGGAAGATTGGTTATCCTGACACTATGACCAAGGCTATCACCATGCTTGATGGCTTGTGTGCAGCCCAGCATACAGTTTGAAGGGTTGGGCGAGAGAGAGAGAGAGAGAGAGAGAGACACAAAGAGAGACAAAGAGAGAGAGAGAGAGAGAGAGACACAAAGAGAGAGAAAGAGAGAGGAAGAGAGAGAGAGAGAGAGACAGAGAGGGACAGCGAGAGTGGGGGAGAGTGGGAGGAGAGAGTCAGTGTCGCGGGTGGGGCTGCAAGAAAGCTATTCCCATTGAGGTCCACTTTGTGGCTCATGGGCTTGGAGGAAGAGTTCAACGTGGCCTGTTGGCAGTGTCAGCTTGGGAGGTTCCCCTTATACTAACAGCATAGGGATTATAGTAGCCCCTATTTTAATCCGTATGAAGGACGGCTAGTATAAGGCGGAACATCCCAAGTGTCAGATGTGGATCATCAACATTGCTATTCGAATGTTGTACCCTGTGGAGTGCCCCCCCCCCCTCCCCCAAGATACTCGAAGCTTGTTTTCGCCTAAGGGTTTTGTATGATTTCAATAGGGAGGAGTTTAGAAACAGCGATGCCCGGCAATTGATTTTGCGCGGAATCTTCTTTCGACACCCGGACGATTTGCCTTAATTGCCGACCCCACTCTGCACCCCCAAACAGTCGGTGTGTCCTGAATAGCCCGGCCAATCTGACTTTATGCAGGGGGCCCCTACCAAACCAGGCGCAGCATTAATTCCTTCGTAGCTACTTGCAATTCTGCGTGCATGTACTATTACTTGGCGTAGATGTAGCCGAGCCTGAACAGCCCATCGAAAGGCCGCTGCTGACTATTTGGAGCGAGCCCACCTCCCCACCTCCGAGAAGCCGTGGCCCTGGGCGCGCTGGGCCCCACGACCCAGCCGCAGATGCGTGGCAGCTCCCCAAGAAGGCCACAGACCCCTTAATGAAGAAATCGGCCTCAGTTTAAGGTTTAGGGTTCAGAGTTTAGGGTTCAGAGTTTAGGGTTTCCGGTTTGGGGTTGAGGGCTCCGAACTCAGAATGAAGACCCCCTGGTTCAAGTTGTCCTTTCCTTTCACCCACAGGGGTTTTGGGCTCATTCACAATAGGCAAACAACCAGGAAATCCGTAAACCTCACACAACTCTCTGCTTAAGAGCCACCCCCAAAAAAGTCCGCCTCGAACGGGCAATATAGGGAACATTATTCTTCTTGTTTTGGGTGGTTCGTAAGATAATCGTAGTAGATCACCAAAAACAGATTTTCCAGGTCTTAGATGACATGTCGCAAGCCTGAATCCGAAACTGCAATCTCGCCCTGCACGGGCGAGCGCCACAGACTCCCTTCACCATGGGAATGGGGTTTAGGGTTCAGGGTTCAGGGTTCAGGGTTTAGGGTTTAGGGTTTAGGGTTTGAGGCTCAAAAGGGTTAATGGTTGAGCCATTAGCGCGGGCCTCAGTCCCTGGCATGAAGCAGAATCCAGGTTCAAAAGGGTTGCAGGTTTCAGGGTTTAGGGTTCAGGGTTTAGGGTTTGCATCCGAGAAGCTCTCCCCAATGGAAGAACTGTCCTCCCAGCCCGTCCTGCCAGCAAGGCAGGAAGGTTTAGGGTTTAGGGTGTAGGGTGTAGGGTTTAGGGTTTATGGGGCTAGGGCCCCCAATGGTAAGGAGCCTTTGTCATGATTTAACTGCGCGATCCCAAACATCGACTTCTTTGTAGATTCCTAGTCTGAAGCCCCTTATATAGGGTTCGTATTTCCTAGGTTCTGCTTGGGGCTCTTAAGGTAAGGAAGAATTTTGGGGCGTTCCCCTTATTACACCAACAGTCCTTAGTAGGGATTATAACAGCGGTTACCAGAGTCCCTCTTAAGGGCTGTTACTTGAAGGTTCATGGGACTTACTAACCAATTATACCTGTACTTATAACTATACTTATAATGCCCCTAAAGGACCTTATAGGGGTTATCCGGGTTATCCCAATCATAAGTAGGGTTATAAGCCCAGTTATAAGTGGTTACTAAGTACCATGAACCTCCAAGTACAAGGGGGAACAGCCCAACGTATGGTATTCAACTTTCTTGGCTTCCAGAGGTTGGGCTCCCCTGGGTTGTTTCTTCTATAGGGTTTAGGGTTTAGGGTTTAGGGTTTAGGGTTTGGGGTGTATGGTTTAGGGTTCAAGGTTTGGGAACTCGGGTTTGGGAGTTAGGGTCTAGGATTTATGACGCTGAACCCTAGACCCTAAACCCCTAAACTCCAAACTCTAAACCCCAAGGCACGGACAGCACAGCCTCTTCGAGATCAACATCCGGGCCTTCGCAGGTAGAGAAACCCCCAAACCCCCAACCCCAAACCCTGAACCCTAAAGCCTAAACTCTAACCCCCTAACCCTAAACCCTGACCCTAAACCCCAAGCGCGGAACCGTAAACCCTAAACTCTGAACCGAAGCGTTTAAAGCTTACGGCTTTGAGGTTGAACACCCTACAAGGATGGGTTTCAGGATTATTGGGTTCAGGGTTTAGGTTTCAGGGGTCAGGGTTCAGACGCGGTGCTTGGTGGTCCCAGCTGATGCTCAGAGCCTGGGTTCAAAAAAGGGGTCAGGGTTCAGGGTTCAGGGTTCCCAAAACCTAACTCCAAAACCCTGTACCAGGGCTCACCCTAGCGTTGAACTTCCAGCCTCTGGGTTCAGGGTTCCGGGTTTAGGGTTCAGGGTTTAGGGTTTAGGGTTTCCTGGCGTGAAGGTTCTTTCCAGGTTCAACAGGGCTCAGGGCTTGCACACGACCTCTTCAACCCTAAACCCTAAACCCTCGGGGGGGGGGGGGGGGGGGGGAGGGATAGTCCGTACCGTGACTGAGGTGCTTCCTTCAACCTGCTCTTTGGGACCCAAAGAGCACAACACTCCGCATTTCAAGCATACCTCTTCCTTCCTTTCAAGGGTCCCTCTGCCCTAAACCCAAAACCCTAAACCCTAAACCCTAAACCCTACTTCACTCGCAGGCCTGCTCTCGGCCTACTCGCTCAGTGGGAAGCAGGTCTTCTTGGACACGGTCCGGCCCTTGAGGGTTGTTTAGAGAACGGACCACACACACACACACACACACACACACATATATATATATATATATGTGTTTTGAATGGGATGTTCTCTCTTATGACAGTCCTTAATGGGGATTCTATTACCCCCAACAAGTATAATCCCCATTAAGGACTGTTAGTAGTACGTCCCACAATATATATATATATATATATATATATATACATGACACAAACATAAAGCCGAAGCCCTGCAGGGGCTTCTTAGGGGGGGTGTAGGTGTATGCGTATCCCCCGAAAAGCTGTCCCTAAACCCTGAACCCTAAACCCTGGACCCTAAACCCTAAACCCAAAACCCAGCCCTACACAGGACCACGCATCAGATGGTGATTGGGGTTCTGCCGGGTTTAGGAATTTTGGCAGATGGTTTGCCTCCTGTGGCCCTGCAAGGCGAAGAGATTGGGGGAGAAGCTATTGAAGGCATTCGACACGCCGGGGGCTCATGTGGGGTTTAGGGTTTAGGGTTTAGGGTTTAGGGTTTAGGGTTGAGTGTACTTGGAGATTCATGGGTACTTAAAAGTAGGTTTATAAGTACCCTAAATAGGGTTAGAAGTATAGTTAGCATTCTTAGAACCTTACTTATACCCATGAACCTCCAAGTATATATGGGTTCCACATAATAGAAATCAAGCCCTGTCTCGTGCGCACAGTCGTTCATGCTTGCCAGATCTTGTCTTCAGAACTTCAGACCCATTGTCGATTCGGCCATGAGTCGTGTTTTGTTTCAACCTTCCTGTCGGTTCCAATGCGCATTCTTCTCCTTGGCCGCTCCGATCTCTACCCATAAACCCTCAACCCTAGGCTCTAAACCCTCGACCCTAAACCCTCAACCCTCAACCCTCAACCCTCAACCCTACCCCAAACCCTCAACCCTCTAAACCCTTGACCCTAAACCCTAAAGTTGACGGTTCGGGGCAGGCCCTGAACCCTGCCAGGAATCCCTGCGGAGTGGTTCGTGCAGCTATGCGGGTGCCAGAAAAATCTAAACCCTAAACCCCAAGCCCTAAACCCCAAACCCTAAACCCTAAATCCTAAACCCTAAACCCTAAACCCTACTGTCCCAACCAGCAGATATGGGAGCCGAGGCCCAGTGGCATGCCGATGCCCACAGCTCGAGACCTCAGAGGGTCGAGTCGGGCGTAGGGTTTAGGGCTTAGGGTTTAGTGTTTAGGGTTTGGGGTTTAGGGTTTAGGGTTTGGGTTTAGGGTTTAGAGTTTAGGGTTTAGGGTGTAGCGTTTAGCGTGTACGCTTTAGGGTTTAGGGATCCCTTGAAGGGTGTATATAGGGCCCTCATTCCCTGGATGCTTGCGCCCACGCCAGCTCCACCGAAACCCCTTATTCAAGGAATGGAGCTTCCTCCCCAAACCAAGAATCCCCTACATTTTGGTAAGGTGCATTCCTTGTTGCAGAGGCTTTGTTTTTTGCAAGTCCCGTTGTTGAGCCCCTGCATTCTTGAGCTACTCGCGCCGAATTGCTGAGATCGACATTGGCACTGGCGAAGTGGCGTCACACTCCTGGAACCAGAACGCCGTACGCCGCCCCAGTGCAGCCGGTGCCACCAAATTTGAGATGACCCTGTGACCCTACGTGGAGTTTCTTGAGGGTTGTTACAAGTAGGGTTCTGGAAACCCCACTCAGGATACTTATAGCCCCACTTGTAACTACCCCTAAACAGCCTAAACCCGAAACCCTAAAACCTAAACCCGACTTCCAGTTGCCCGTGAACCTCTAGGACCGGGAGTAGGGCCCTTTTTTCCTGTTTCAGGGTTGGGTTTTTTTTAGAATCCCCTTATCACCAAAAAGGGTACCCTTTTATTCCTAGGCTTTTTCCGGGTCTAGACCCCTAGGTATGAAGCCGAAGTTCGCCCCTTGTGCAATGAAGGGATTTGTGGAGGGACAACTCGAAGGGACCCTTAATCTTGTCCAGGAGTTGAGGCTTGCTTTTATCTTATTCAACTATATAACCCCGGTGTATACCTTCTAGTCTATAGCCATTTTCGAACCTAAGTAGCCCCACCAGATACCCCTAAAGCCCCCTAAACCCTAAACCTAAACCCTAAACCCGAAGCCCTAAGAAGGATCCCCTCCTTTAGTCCCTGGAGCAACCGGCAGGTCCTGGCTGAAGTGACGACCCTGCAGGCCAGAGACTCGCTTGACTCCTTCTGCTTTGGCCCACTGAAGTTGAAGGGTTTGGAGCGTTCAGAGTTTAGGGTTTAGGGTTTAGGGACTCGTTCTGTTTTTGGCCCACAGAAGTTCTGTAAAACGAAGCGCCATGCACCCCCCAAATCTTGGGTTTAGGGTTTAGGGTTTAGGGTTTAGGGTTTAGGGTTTAGGGTTTAGGGTTTAGGGTTTAGGGTAGCCCAGTGGTGCCCTTTACCCTTTTTTTGGGTTATGGGTTCCCTTATAAAGTAACCACCCCCAAAACAGGGTGCCCTTATTATAATATGTCTACTGGGCTACTAAGAAATCCAAACTTATACGGCTCCTGTGTGGCTTGGCCCAGGTCTGGCCGTTACCAGGGCAGGTAAGGGTCGGGTTTGGGAAAGTTTTTCGGGTAAGCCCTAGAAGCCCTAACTTTTCTCAGTTTCTACCACGAAGAGCTAGTAGCTCAGAAAGCCCACCACCCCTTCTTTGAAGAAAATATGCCGTACACGATATCGGGATTCTCATTTTCAATTGCGCTGTGTTACTTAAGTCCTTAAGTCAACGGTACTGGGAATATGGGAAGATTACTAGCGCTGATTAGGCACATGATGTTATCAGGTATCTCCTTGAACCCCGCAAAAGGGTTTATATATGGGGTATAAGGATATAAGATACCTCACTCCAGCCTTCCCTACACTGGAAGCTTCATGGGTGCCTAGAAGTAGGGTTTTTTTAAGCATGGCAACTCTGCTTGTAACCCTACGAAGGAACCTCCAAGTAAGAGCCAGTAGGAAGATTCTAGGTGGAGTTTCGCTTCATCACCCAAGTCACTGGAGATCGTCGCTGGCAATACGCAGCAGACAAGGCGGGCAATCCGCAGTCAATTTACTGTGGTCTCGTTAAGGAACTTCAAGCAAGCTATCATAATAGGGTTCATTTGTAAATCCTATACGGTCCGTACCAATCATGGTATCTTAATTGAAGTTCCTTGACAGGAACTTTGTGTAAGTTCCTTAACAAGAACCTTGCTTTTTGCTGTAAGTGTGCAGTTTTCCAAAATAGGTCTTCTTCCGTCGGGACAGCGTAAATGTTACCAAGAAAGGGCCCCTAAATGGAGATCGAAGAACAGACAGAGCCCCCTTCATCAACGAACATACCTTCAGCCGCCTGAGTCCCTAGCCGAAAACCCTATAAAACCCCATAAGCTCTGCGCAGCTTAACCTCAGAAAGCCCACTTAGTTCAGGAATAACCCTTAGATCGTATTGGTTTCCTTCTTATGAAGTATGCTATGTATCATGCTTGATTAGGGGTATGGGTGCCTAAACACCAGATCCTATAAACCGTAAAGCCCTAGAAACCCTCCTAAACACCAAACCCTACAAACCATGGACCCTATAAACCCAAAACCCCTTTCAACCGTGTATAACCTATGAGCCATACACCCTATAACCGTTAGACCTTCGAGCCCTTGAAACCCTACAATGCGTGAACCCTATCAACCCTTAAAACCCGAGAAGCCCTAAGGAACCCTAAACCCTAAACTCAATTTCGCCCTAAACCCTAAACCCTAAACCCTAAACCCTAAACCCTAAACCCTAAACCCTAAACCCTAAACCCTAAACCCTAAACCCTCCAAGCCCTTTTGGTGGGGCTGTGGGGGTCTCTGGGAGGCCATGGACGTCGTCCTACGTGCTGCGGGCAACCGAGGGCTCGTGCCGCCCAACCCTTAGGGTTTAGGGTTTGGGGTTTAGGGTTTAGGGTTTTTAGTTTTTAGGGTTTGGGGTTTAGGGTTTGGGGTTTAGGGCTCAGAGTCTGGGCTTAAACAAAGCATTTAGGGTTTAGGGGTTTAGGGCTTTTAGTGTGCAGAGTCCAGAGAGTTTCGGCTCCAGGGCTTCAGGGTTGAACAAGTACCCACGGTTTAGGGTTTAGGGTTTAGGGTTTAGGGTTTAGGGTTTAGGGTTTAGGGTTTAGGGTTTAGGGATGCAGGTACGTGTGTGCGAAACCAACTTCACAGTAGAGGAAGCATGCGTGAAGGGTGCCTTTCGGTCGGTACCTCCCCTAGAGCCCAATACCCTCATGAGGGAATTGGACCGTAAATTATACAAGGCATCCTTGTGAATTTTTGCGGAAAGTCTAAGTGCATTTCTTCTGGGTCTTTAATGTAGACCGTCCTCTGTGCGGACAAGTCCTTCCTCGTTCGCACTCGTCGAGGATGCCCAGTATACCCCTGTTCCTTTTCGTTGGCGTTAGAACCCCCCTATACCTTATTGGTGACCCGGTTCAGTCGTGGGTTACCTATGAGCACTTGCCCAGAGCTGCTTGGCCTAAGCTAGGTAGCCAGGCAGGACTTGCGCCCACGGTCGTCCGCTTGGAGTGATGGTTCCCTGGCTGGTTTAGGGGGCGGGATGCTTGGCCTTGCGGCCTGGCTTCAGACAGCCCGAAACACGTCCATAGCCAAGACAGACTCCTAGTACAGGGTACTTCCATGGTCCCTTAATTTGGCCCCTTACCTTCTTTGAAGGGTTCTGTTGTGTAGGGTACAAAACGGGATATATAAGGGGTCCCCGTTAAGGGCCCATGTCAAGGGACCTTGTAACTACCCTAAGATTACCCCGAAGTGTCAAGCCAGTGTGCATGCTGCCACCAAGGAAATATCAGAGAATGTGTGGCAAATTGCTGGGGCTGTCCTGTTTCTTGGCCTGCACTCCCCTAAACCCTAAACCCTAAACCCTAAACCCTAAACCCTAAACCCTAAACCCTAAACCCTATGGGTATACTTTCCTCTCAATGTCAGGGTGTTCAGAATCGGGCCCCGGCCTGCTTCCCCTCGCTTGTGGTCCTTTACCAGCCTAGTATTTGCTTAAGAACCCCCCAAAAAGCATGTCTTTGTCATAGTTGGGTGCCATTTTACATTTTTAAGGGCAATAAGGAATATAATTTAAATTCTTAGTAGTATCCCAACCATGAATTTGAGATAACAATGATGCCTTTCTGACCCTTATAGGAACAAATGACTCTCACAGGGAAGAATATTTCATTTTTGGGTGGGTTCTTAAGCAAACAGTAGCAGCGTGCTCCGGTAGCAGTTGCGTGCCAGGCCTACGTCTGCACAAGCGCGGGACGAAGACTCAAGCACACCCCGAACTAAGCAGCCACCCCGAAACCCTAAACCCTAAACCCTAAACCCTAAACCCTAAACCCTAAACCCTAAACCCTAAACCCTAAACCCTAGACCTTACCCTAATAGTCTTCATTAAAATAGTGACTAGCCACGCTACGGAGATTCTAAGACCCAGAGTAGGCCCTTGTTCCCCCCCTTGTTTCGGGTTCAGGCTCCCTTACAAGTACCCTTGAAATCCCAAAAGGGCACCCATGTCATTCCTAGGTTACTCTTGGGTCCTAAACCCTAAACCCGAAACCCTAAACCCTAAACCCTAAACCCTAGGTTCCTCTTGGGTCTCTTATTAGTCTTCATCAAGAAAGGAAAAGGCGCTTTTTTTGAGTGGCCGAAGACCGCCGAGGACGGCCATCCTCAAGATCTGCTCACTGATTGCAGTCACGGGGCTGCAACGGTGATTTGCCAATATTGTTGTTAGTTTTTATAATAAAATCATTACCTTGTTTTTTTAAGTATACTGGCTACCAAACTATATTCAACTATTACAACTGAGTTTTGGTTCTTAATGTTGTTGTCGTAGTATAAACCCAGAAGTCATGAGGGATCGGGCTCCCTGGATACGTCCACCTGTTATTTGGTTACATCGTCTGCTCAGCTAGTCCAGTCGCCGGTCGCGGGACATTCAACCATGCAGGACAAAATGCCGGGTGAGGCCAATATGCCCTGAATGCAGGAACATCCTCAATTCAAAATACGAATCCCCTGTATAGTTCAAGGTCCATTTCTGAAATCCGAGGTACGAGGCCCGAAGCCCTGCTTGCTGGTGTCGGGGGACTTAGAAAGTAGTGATTGGAGTACCCATAGCCCTACTTTGCACCAACACTTGCTAAGACCCCCGGTCCTCCCAGCATACGCCCTAGCCCTAAACCCTAAACCCCAAACCCTAAACCCCAAACCCCAAACCCTAAACCCTAAGCCCTAAACCCCACGCTCCAGCACCTCCCGAGGTCGGCGTGCACCTGGAGAGGCGGAAGCTGCTCAATGGGGAGAAGCGAGCCTGGGCTTCTTCTGGGTTTAAGGGTTTTTGTTGTGCCTTTAGGGTTTTGTTACAGTTTTTTGTTTTTGTTTTTTGTTTTTTCTTTTTTTTATGGTTTTCTTTTTTTGGTTTGTTATTCTTTTGTGGTTTTAGGCGTTTAGGGTTTAGGGCTTAGGGTGAGGTTCAAGGGTTGAGTGTTAGGGTTTAGGGTTTAGGGCTTCTACTGGGTTCAAGGGTTTGGGGTTTGAGCGCCAGAGAGAGAGAGAGAGAGAGAAGGAGAGAGAGCGGGTTTTTAGGGAGGGCTTTAGGGCTTCTAGTGCTTTCAGGGTTTGAGGGTTTTTTCGGGTTTAGGGTTGGGCTGCTTAGGGTTTTTAAAGGATTTTTAGGGTTTTGGGATTTTTTGGGTTTTAGGGTTTAGGGGCTCGGGGTGTCGGCTTGCTTGGGTTTAAGTTCGAAAGGTTTTTTGTTCTTTGCTTTTTCGGGCTTCAGGGCTTCGCCAAGGCTTTGGGTTTTTTTAAGGCTTCGGGGCTTCGGTTTGGGGGGGTGGGTGTTAGGGTTTAGGGTGTTCGGTTTCGTGGTCCCAGTGTTTTAGGGCACATGCGAGACCAAGCCCTAAACCTTAGGGCTTGGTCTCGCATGTGTGGGTTTAGGGTTTAGGGTTTAGGGTTGAGGGTAAAAAGTTTTGGTGGGACTCGTAATGCTGCCTTCCCGCCGCCAAGGCAAATGCCTGTCCGCGCTAGCCATGGACGTCTGTCTACCTTGCCTTCTGTTCACCGACGTCTTACCCGAGGCGTGGTGCTTCGATTTGCCAAGTGCCCAATACCGTTGCCAATATCTCTTACTTCGGATTCCCGGATACCTGGACGCGGAAAGTATGCTAAAAACAGCAGCCCAAACCAGGATACTCATTCAACTGCATAGGGGTTTCTTGTTAGGCCCTAAACCCCAAACCCCAAATCCTTGTTTGAGGGGGCGCGAGGTTGCGCTGGCAATTTGTGGCCAGTTTTTTGCTGCTGTCGGTTGCGTCCGTCTCGTGCTGGGGGCTTTAAGTAAAATTATGTGTCTCTTCCTGCCGAAGCTACTATTTTTTTATGAAACCCTCAAAACACCAAGAAGACATTCTCCCCCATAAGGGCAATTCAGGGATTGTTATTTTTTTGGCGAGGGTTCTGAAGCAAATAGTAGATAAGATAGACCAAATCACAAGCTTGAATTATTCAATACTCGAATTTCTAGAAAGCCTATACATATTTCCGTAGGCCCCACTAACCCCTTCTCACACATACACACACAGAGGTCATAATTAAAAAACCCTCAACCCTCAATCCTAAACCCTAAGCTCCCAGCCTACAAAAGCCGTTAATAATAACAATTATTGTTATTATTGATATTATTATTATTACTATAATTAGTATTACTGTTCCTGTTCTCGTTATTGCTATTGCTATTGCTATTGCTATTGCTATTGCTATTATGGTTATTATTATTATTGCGATTAGTATTCTTCTTATTACTATAGCTATTCAGGCTAGGCCTTGGGCCAGTCTGGGCTCAGACGGGCTTAGGGCCCATCTTGCCGAAAACCCTACGCATCAACTTTGGGGGTTTAGGGTTTAGGGTTTGAAAGGTTTTGGGTTTAAGGTTTGCCCTAAACCCTAAACCCTAAGCCCTGAACCCTAAACCCTAAGCCCAAAGCCCTCAGCCCTCACCCTTAACCCTTAAACCCTAAACCCTAAACCGAATGTTTAGTTCCTTGTGGTCCTGGGGGTTTCCTGGGTTTAGGGTTTGGCATGAGGATTGTATGATATTGTTGGTGTTGATGCTGTTGTTGATGGGGAGAGTAAACTCCGAAGGCTGTCTGCAGGTGCTCCAGATACGGACTAGAAGCTTCCTTTAACCCGAACTTAGGCGTTTGCTATGCCCGACCTCTTCCCCGTATACGCATGCGAAACGGGTGGGAAAAAAACCGAATGTTTAGGGTTTAAGTGAAGTGTAGAGCTTATGAAGCACCGAGGGTTTTAGGACTGCAGGGCTTGGTGGGCAGAATGTTTGGTAGAGGGCTGGTGCTGCGAACTTCACAGCTACTTGTACTGCTATATAAGGTATATGTAGGGGTTATATAGGGAATAAGATTCAGGGTCCCTTCTAAGGGTCCCTCCTTACTCTGTGGTACTTTACTGTAACTTGAGATCCTTACCTTTTTTGGGTTTATTGGGTTTCTTATTAAGGCAGCTAAAAGTTTAATTTATAGCTACCCTCCTGAGTGCAGCCAAGCTTATACCCCTCAAAGAGGCCAACTTCGCACTGCTGCTGGAGGGTTGGCAGCTGCTGCTTTGGCCGTTCGCTTACGCCTCGGCGCCCTGTCAGCATGGGTTTAGGGTTTAGGGTTTAGGGTTTAGGGTTTAGGGTTTCATAGAGCAGGCACGGTGGGTCTGTGTCACGGAACCTGGGCCACCTTGTTGAACTGCTGCCGAAACCGGCTTGGCTTTCTTAACCCTAAACCCTGAACCCTAAACCCGAAAACCTAAACCCTAAACCCTAAACCCTAAACCCTAAACCCTAAACCCTAAACCCTAAACCCTAAACCCTATGTTAGGTTAGCGCCGTGCTGGGGATGCTGTGCTGCCTCGTGATCGGCATCCCTTCACAGCACATGGGGGCTGCAGCAGCTCCTGGGCCGTGGAGAGCTTTTTTGGGGGGTTTACGAAAAGGGTTTAGGGTTTAGGGTTTAGGGTTTAGGGTTTAGGGTTTAGGGTTTAGGGTTTAGGGTTTCAGGTTTTAAGGTTTTAAGGTTTAGGGTTTAGGGTTAGAGCCCCAAATAGGAGGGTTCCCTTATCATAAGGACCCCAATATGGTACCTGTCGGAAGCCCTCATGTATGTGCACCTTTTGTTCGGCACATGCAGCGCAGGGAAGGATCCGAAGGGAGAGGAACTTTACTCGTCTTGTCTTCTTTGCAAATTCTATACTGGACTGACACACTTAGTCAGTTCTCTCAATGAACACCCTCAGTTGAGGAAGAGATTGTGCTACTATCTACACTCAATGAAGGAATATCTTGGTCATACTACTTTAGTATGACTATAGTTTGTATATATATATGTGCATATATACATATAAATATACATACGTATGCTTAGGTTCAACACAAAGAGTATATCATGTACCTGGGATCAACTTAGGACCTCTTGCAACAGCTAGACGGCCTGCTGCATAATGGACTCCCGAAAAAAGTCTAAGGCATGCGCTGCGTTTCCCAATGTCAACGGCTTCCCTGTCTCAGTGATCAGTTGCCTGGCTTGGGGTTAGGGCTTCGGTGTGAGGCTTAGGGTATGGTAGGCTATTTAGGGCTTAGGGGGTTGTGCAGGGCTTAGGCCTAGGGGACAGCACAGGGGTGTTTGTTCACCTGCTTACGCTTTGCAGTCAGAGTTGCTCTCCGGGCCGGTTTGTGAACCTGGAGCCCTTGGAAGCCTCCTAAACCCTAAACCCTAAACCCTAAACCCTAAACCCTAAACCCTAAAGCCTAAACCCTAAACCCTAAACCCTAAACCCTCGAATGGAGGTCCGCGGAGTTGGGCAGAAGGTACCCTCTGGCTTTGGTTGTGTCATTGTCCAGCGTTGATCCCAGCCTTATACGCCCTAATTCCTAGAACCCTAAGGCAGGCGCATTGAATCTTGTAAACCGTAGACCCCATTTCCCTAAACCCTAAAAACACCCGACCAACTTGAGAACTGCATCGAAAAACAGCCAGGGCACGACCGGGCGCATGCCAGGAAGGGTTTAGGGATTAGGGATTAGGGATTAGGGTTTAGGGTTTAGGGTTTAGGGTTCTTTGCTTTAGCTTCCTTGCCCCTCACTGAAGAAGTCCGGTGGCAGCTGCCAGAAGCCCTCTTCGACACCTTTAAGCAGCCTTCAGAGGGAAGGGCCCCCGAAGCAAGGTGTACCTGTTCAACAACCCCTGGCCCTTGTCTGGGAGGTAGCTTTCTCAGGCCTCCTCAATCCTCAACCCTTACCCCCCCATAAGCCGGTCTAGCCCTAAACCCTAAACCCTAAACCCTAAGCCCTACTCCCTAAGCCCTAAACCCTAAACCGGTCGAGGTGCACTGGGCAAATCTATCCCCAAGTCTCCGGCCGGCTTCTCACCCATGGCTGCGCGGCGTGGTAGTACAGGCTCTCCACTTAGGGTTTAGGGTTTAGGGTAAACCCTAAACCCTGAACCCTAAACCCTAAACCCAGGGTTTAGGGTTTAGGGTAAACCCTAAACCCTAAACCCTGAACCCTAAACCCTAAACCCAGGGTTTAGGGTTTAGGGTTTGGGGTTCAAGGTTTAAGGTTTGGTTTAGGGTTTGGGGTTTAGGGGCATATAGCCTCCAGCTGGGAAGCACACCTCCACAAGAGGCCCTCAGTATGAGCTACGGAACGTACGAGGTCTTGTGCCCTTTGGCCCCATACCCCAAAACCCCAAACCCCAAACTCTAAGCCTGCAGTAAGGGGTACCTTACTTCTCCAATAACCAAGGGAAGAAAAATGTTATAAACATTTTTATTCTACTAAATCAGGAAACCCAAAAAGTTTAAAGTTCAACTATTGGCTAACCGCAGTTACAAGTCTGCTTATGACCTACTTAGGGGAGGTAGGGGGCTTGTAAGTACAGTTATAATTGGGGTTCTAAGTACCCTGAACCTCCAAGTAGGGGGGGGGTAGTAGCCCTAAACCTAAACCCTAAACCCTAGGTCTTCATCCTAAGCACTTGTGGTAAGTAGGGTTAGCAGGGTTTCGGGTTTATGAATTAACTTCAAGGGTTATAGTGTAGTACATCTTGGGCAGTGGCGTCACCACGGTAGCACTCATCCGGACGCCTGAGAGATTGGGGTGCTTCCAAATAATGGGGTGGTATCCCCAATATACCCAAAATGCTCCAATCCTTATTCTAACCCTGACCTCCAAAAAGTAGACCCCTTGAAAGGTTCCTAAGAGTGATCAAGCAGTAGTATGGGCTACTATTGGGGGGTTCTACTTTTTGGATGCTCCCAAAAATCTGGGAAGAACCCCCACGAGGGTACCCCTGTTCTCGGAACTCTGTGTGGAATTCAGCAGTGAGGTTTTCCTGTCCATCATCCAGCTCACAGCCTCTTAGCTGCAGTTTGCCACTAGCGGGCTACTTGAAGGTTAATGGATAGTTATAAGTAGGGTTTTAAGTAGGGTAGCTGTACTCCCAACCCTATTTAGGGTGCTTATAAACTTGTAACCCTACTTCTAACTACACGTGAACCTCCAAGTAGACTCCCCGACCATAGGCAGTTGCTCTGATCTTGTGTTCAGGGTTTAGGGTTCTTCGAGACAAGAGACCAGACTTTGCATCAGGGAGGCTGCTAGGCCCCTAAACCCTAAACCCCCTAAACCCCCTAAACCCCCTAAACTCCCTAAACCCCCTAAACCCCCTAAACCCCCTAAACCCCCTAAACCCCCTAAACCCCCTAAACCCCCTAAACCCCCTAAACCGCCAACCCCCAGCTGCCAACGAGGATGGCCTCCTGAAGTACACCGTGGGCCCTGCAGTCTTTCGACGGGATAAGAGGCCTCGAGGGTTGAGGGTTCAGGGTTTAGGATTTGGGGTTTAGGGTTTAGGGGGGTTTAGGGGTATCGGGGTTTGGGGAGTTGGGGGTTTAAGTTTAAGGTTTGCACCCGGCGATTTGACAACGGGCCGTGACTAAAGGGAACTGTGATTCAGGGAGCGACCGTGAATCTGGAAACGGGTCATCAAACAAAAGGTTCCATGTTTTCCAGTTTTCCTGGTTTCCAAAACCACGCTTCCCGCTGTCTCGAATCCGCTTGCCTATGCTGTAGTTTCCCGAATCACGTGTTTTTTTTGCCAGCACCCGAAACCCTAAACGCTAAACCCTCTTTGGAAGTGTACCAAAAAAACCCTCTTTGGTTTGTGATTTCGTGGCTGGCACGAACCTGTCGTAAAGGTCCCCAAGGGCAGTACTCGTAAGGGTAACCGTGGTAGCCCGGTGGGTACCCTTTACCCTTTTCTTTGGACATGAGTTCCCTGCTAAAGTAACCACCCCAAAGACGGGTGCCCCCATTGTCATTTGGTTACTGGAACTCCGAAGAATACTCAGGATCAAAACTAGGACCGGGAGTAGTGTCATACTTATAACCCTACTGATAACTACCCATGAACCTCCAAGTAGCCCTAAACCCTAAACCCTAAGCCCTAAACCCTAAACCCTAAACCCTAAACCCTAAACCCTAAACCCTAAACCCTAAACCCTAAACCCTAAACCCTAAACCCTAAACCCTACTTACCACTACCCATGAACCGCCAGGCAGCGAGCCTCAATGTCAGACCTGCCCCTCGGCGGGTCCCTTCACAGTATCGAGGCGCGGGCGCCTTGGGTCTAGGGTTTAGGGTTTAGGGTTTAGGGTTGAGGGTTTAGGGTTTATGGGTTTAGGGGTTTAGGGTTTATGGGTTTATGGGTTTATAGGTTTATGGGATTAATTGGTTTATGGGCTTATGGGCTTATGGGTTTATGGGCTTATGGGTTTATGGGTTTATGGGCTTATGGGTTTAGGGTTCAAGGTTTGGGGCGGCTTGGGTGTTGGCGGGTTTGGGTGGTTTGGGGTTACGGGTTAGAGGTTTTTTGTTTGAATCTCTACACGCCCTGAACCCTGGGCCCTGAACATCTAAGCTAACTTGCTCGTGAACTTCCGGCTTACCCTTCAGTCCCACAGGTCGTCCCAAATGTCCCACGTGCGACTGTGAGACTCTAAGCACCCCTCAACACCTCACCCCACGCCTAGACACTGAATTCAATTTAGGGTTTAGGGTTTAGGGTTTAGGGTTTAGGGTTTAGGGTTTAGGGTTTAGGGTTTAGGGTTTAGGGTTTAGGGAAGCCTAAACCCGGAACTTGCGCGGAGTTTCTCCCCACAGGGGTTATCTTTTCTGTCCTGCAGTGCGTTATGCGAGTCAGCTACTTAGGCAGGTGGCAAGAAACAAACTCTAGACCCTAACCATGTAAGAACTATAAACTCTACAGCAAACTCATATACCCAAGAATCACCCTATAAACACCCTACAACAACCCTATAAGCCCTATCAAAAGCCCTATAAACCCTATCCCTAAACCCCAAACCCCAAACCCCAAACCCCAAACCCTAAACCCTAAACCCTAAACCCTAAACCCTAAACCCCCTTCGGAGCCTCTGTTCCTGCCACCATCCTCGCAGGGCCCCGGGTCCGCGAGGCATCTGCCAGGAACGAAGGACCTGGATGAGAGCCTGGGCTGTGTTGGCACTCCTTGGGGTTTGGGGTTTAGGGTTTGGGGTTTAGGGTTTGGGGTTTGGGGTGTAGGGTTTGGGGTTTAGGGTTTTGGGGGGTTTCGGGTTTAGGGTTTGGGAAAAAAGGGTTTGGGGTTTAGGGTTTGGGGTTTGGGGTTTGTGGCTTGGGGTTTAGGGTTTGGAGCTTGGGGTTATAATAGGGGCACTATACGCCCTATTCAGGACTCTTGGTATAAGGGGGACCATCCAAAGTTGAACCTTCAAAAAAACAAACTCAGCCCTGGATTCCAAACCATTTTTTATCTAAAACCCAAGAGGATATGACCAGTATTATTTTCGTTAAGGTTCTAAGGGGAGCATAGGGATCCCAAAGCTGAGGCAAGGAGATGCCCCGTCGGGCATCTCGCTGGAAACACAGAGGACGACAGATTTCGGCCTGACCATGGATCAGGCTGGGATTGAACCCTAAACCATATACTACTCTTTGCTTAAGAATCCAGAAAGAGTAAAAAGTAATATTCCCTATATTAAGGAAGACTATTGTTTCATTTCTTGGGGGTCCTTCAGCAAGTAGTAGTATAATATTACTATGCCTTTGCTCGGTGGAGTTTCCTATTCTGCTTCCGAGGCCGGGCACTTTCATGTGGCAAGCTCCTGAAAGTAGAAGCGCCCGACTTGAGGGAAGAGGCCTTAAAAGTGTGGAAAAAGTAGGGTCTAGGGTTTAGGGTAGAGGGTTTAGGGTTTAGGGTTTAGGGATCCTCATGATGAGCTTTGGTCCTTTCAAAATACGTGTTCAGGAGCTCATGAGTGGAGTTTAAGAAGCGGATCTCCCAGTGGACCTTTTTTTCTTTTTCTGGGGAGGCTCATGGGCTCCAAACAGAAAAGGAAGCCCTGCTTTAGCTATCTGAGTAAATTCGTGCATCCCAAGCCCAATGAGCACGATACACTTTCATTAAGAAATTATACCTTGAATCATACCAATTAGGGTCCTATATGGGGGTTTCCGAAATTGGGGTACCCTTTTTGGGGAGTCCCTTTAAGGGATTCATTCTATTTGGGGTTACACGGGGCACCCCTCTTTTGGGAAATGCCCAGATAGTTGAAGGCATATATGGTCCCGGGCTGCCACGCCCCCCGCCCCCCCTTCCCCACCCCCATCCGGGGGTTTAGGGTTTAAGGTTTAAGGATTAGGCCTAGCCCCTGGCCCCCCCCCCCCCCTGTGGTGTCGGTGTGGTTTGGGGGTTAGGGTTTAGTGTTTCAGGTTTAGGGTTTAGAGTTCGGGGTTTAGGGTCTGAGGTTTAGGCCCGTGGTGTGATTGGGGGTATGGGGTTGAAGGTTTAAGAGACCGGCCACCCGTGCCACCCCTGCGCCCCCCCTGTGGTGTGGGTGTGGTTGGGGGGTTAGGGTTTTCGGGTTTAGGGTTTAGGGTTTAAGGTTCAAAGTTTAAAGTTTAAGGTGTTTTTCAAGTTTAGGGTTTACATAAGTTAGGGTTTAAGTTTTAGCCCCCCTGTGATGTGAATAGGGGGTTGAAGGTTTACGGTTTAGGTTAAGGGTGTGAGGTTTAAGTTTGTTTAAAGGTTTAGGGAGAGGCAGCCCGAGACCATACGTGATGCCGGCCCCCCGCCCACCCCCCCCCCCCCCCACACCCACCCCCCCCCCCCCTTACACCTCCCCCCCCCCCCACCCCTGTGGTGTGGTTGTGGGTTGGATTTAGGGTTTAGGGTTTTAGGGTTTAGGTTTAGGGTTCAGAGTTTAGAGGGTTGGGTTGGGGGGGGGGGGGGTTGGCGAGAACCGGGGATAGCTAAGGGGCTTTTGGGCTCTCTGAGAGGTCCATACGGTTGAGCCGGATTGGAGCCGCTTCGATGCCTACAAAGTGCCGCTCGTTTGCCGAACGGGCGAGGGGAGCGTTGCAGGAAGCCCCTAAAACCCCATAGCCCTATAACCCTCTAACCCTATAACCCTAGAACCCTAAAACCCTATAACCCTATAACCCTAGAACCCTATAACCCTATAACCCTAAGACCCTAGAACCCTATAACCCTAGAACCCCATAACCCTATAACCCTAGAACCCTATAACCTTATAACCCTATAACCCTATAACCCTATAACCCCTAAACCCTATAACCCTATAACCCTAAACCCTATAACCCTATAACCCTAAGACCCCTAAACCCTATGACTCCTAAGCTCCTCAACCTCTAAACTCTTAAACCCCTAAACTCCTAAACCCCTAAACTCTTCAACCCCTAGACTCCTAAAGCCCCTAAACTTCTAGACCCTTAAACTTCTAAACCCTAAACCCTGAACCCTAAACCCTGAACCCTAAACTTCTAAACCCGAAACCCCTTAACCCCTAAGCTTGTGAGGTTCTCCTCTACCGATCCGATGGTGTCAGCCAAGTCACAGCTTCGGGAGCCTTTTCTCAAGCGCGTGCAGGCCAGCATTGCGTAACCTACTGGTGGGTTTAGGGTTTAGGGTTTAGGGCTAGGGTTTAGGGTTTAGGGTTGAGGGTTGAGGGTTGAGGGTTTTGGGTTTTGGGTTTTGGGTTTTGGGTTTAGGTACCTTATGGCCGCTAGTGGCGCCCTATATATATATATATACCCGTTGAGGGATTCTCTGGGGCACCTGATTCCCTCATTCACTACTCGGAGCCAGTAGGTTAAAGTATGTAGGGCTGTAATTATGGCAACTATACTTGTGCATAACCTTATTTAGGGTCCTTCTCCCTATTTGTACCTAATTACCCATGAACCTCCACGCAATTACGTTCGAACTTTCTGGAGCCAACTGAAGCCCGATTCTCCAGAATTAGGAACACCTTGAACTGTGCAGTTTGGAATCCTCCTAATTAGGGAATATGCGCCTCGCACTACATCACGATGAATCAAATGTAAGGGGTCTTGGCTCCCTGGGATGTATGCTTACGAACCATGCACACACAGACTCCCCTAAACCTTGAACCCTAAACCCTGAACCCTGAACCCTAAACCCTAAACCCTAAACCCTAAACCCTAAACCCTAAACCCTAAACCCTAAACCCTAAACCCTAAACCCTAAACCCTAAACCCTAAACCCTAAACCCTAAACCCTACTCGGACTCCGCCCTATGACCCAGCACAGCTCTCCTCAAGTCGCCCTGCCTTGGGGAGGTGTCCCACCTCTTACCAAGCGCTTCTGACGTCCAGGACTGGAGGTTTAGGGTTTAGGGTTTAGGGTTTTAGGGTTTAGGGTTTAGGTTTAGGGTTTAGGGTTTAGGGTTTAGGGACAATGCGTATCGCGACCCCCGAAAAAGCATTTTCATTTAGAGAAGTTGTTCGAGCACGGAGCCTAGAGTACACGAGCCATTGTCAAGTAATACAGGGGACTAACTGATAATCTCATTAGGGTTTAGGGTTTAGGGTTTAGGGTTTAGGGTTTAGGGTTTAGGGTTTAGGGTTTAGGGTTTAGGGTTTAGGGCTGGGTTGTCGTTGATAGCCCTCATGTGCCTTTCTGTTGCGCGAGCTGCATGCTCACCGCACGCCCGTGTTGAACATCTTCTAGCGCTGCGGAGGCCTGTCTGTTTTGATTCTATATCAAGCAGCTTCGTTGAATGCTTGGTTGCGCAACAGCTGTTAAGCATAACTACCCGGAACACGGGTCCTAGATTGCCGTGGTGTTTGGGTGTGCGAAAGCGTACGTTTTACCTGGGTTTCTGGAGGATTCCTAAGACAGGAGGCCAAAAAACAGTAAAACAAAAACACTTCGATGTTTACTGAATAGGGGGCTTTGGTGTTAAATTCAGCCAAAGGCATGGACGCTTGTGACAGCTTTTCTTCTTCCACATCCTTGCGCAGTACGTTGTACAACGAGGCAAAAACGCGGTAAATGCCAGTGTTTTGGGCATCGTCGGAATTGGCATGGACGCTTGTGACAACGTGTCTTGTTCCACATCCTCGCGCAGTGTCACAAAGAGGCGAAAACACGGCAAATGCCAGTGTTTTGTGCATGGACGCAGTATGAATGAAGTTCTTATCCCCCCCTCCCCCCCCCCCCCCCCCCCCCCCCCCAAAGCCGAACAACAGGAAACTGCAGGAAACATCGGAAAAATGCAGGAAAGACTGCGGCAATCTGCGGCCCGTGTTCCAACTACCCATATCTTGCGATCCCTGCTGAGCGAGTCCGCTGGCAATAAAGGTATCTAAACCCTAAACCCTAAACCCTAACCCTTAACCGAACCCTAAAGGTAGCTAAACAAGTACGATGAGTTGCACGCAGGACTTGCTGCGGCAGGTGGTTCCACCCCAGGCCGAATCCGTAGCTCTTTTCTTCACCATGTCGGGGTTTAGGGTTTAGAGTTTCGGGTTTTTGGTTTAGGGTTTAGGGTTTTGCCCTTTCTTCGGGCGCAACTCGATGTTCCCAACTCTTTGTTTGGGTTGAACAACTGCTCCTATGGATTTTGCAAGACGGCTTTCTTCCGCTGCTGTTCGCGTGCTATAGAGTCCATGAGCGACTCTGAAGCAGGCTCATGACATAGTGGGACACCTGAGTACTGCTTGAGGTGAGCCATGACAGATCAGCAGCCTCGCATGTGGCGACTCGTTGTGACAGGTACGCCGCTTCGGATACTCGCTGTCGAGTGGCACAGCAGTATTCGCATGGACCACATGTCTCACGCAACCTTGCAGATGAAGAACTCTTGCGCGCACAGCGACGAGCATCCATGGCCGACGGTCATTCGGGCCCTGGCGCGAGGCCTGAGGATGAAAGATGCATCTTTGCACCAATTTGCGTGGTGCGAAGACAAAGACATGCTTGCACTGGGTGTGGCCAACAACAAGAAGAACAAGACACAAGCAATGTGCTGTGCTTATGACTTGTTGTTAGTCTCAGCCCCGGTGGTGCAGGATGCGCCCATCATCTACATCGATCCGCAAGCGTATTACTCCGATGACTATGTTCCTAAGCAATGCCTGACAATGCCCTCCAGCTTCGCGAATTTTGCAGTTGCCCTCAGCAAAACTGAAGGCGTGACAGGCTACTTCCTCCAGCGTCGAGAAGATGCACAGCGCCTTTTTTGAGGGTGTCAAGTTCGGTGAGTGGCCAGCCGCGCTGCACTGCACCAGATGGAAAGGAAGCTGACCACTGGCATCCTTGCTACAGCATAAGAAAATCGCGAAGGCTTTTAGGGTTGTTTAACATTAAACAACCCTAAATGGTTTTTTTTTAACGTTAAAAAACCCTAAATGGGTTGTGTTAACGTTAAAAAACCCTAAATGGGTTTTTTAAACGTTAAAAAAACCCTCAATGTGGCAGTGGTGGGCCAAGGAAAGGGGCACTGGCCCTGCAACTCTCCAGTCGATGGCGAAGACACCATCGAGCTGGATGCAGATGCGCAAGGCATCGGCATGGTTGAGGGTTTAGGGTTTAGGGTTTAGGGTTTAGGGTTTATCAAGGCGTCATTCCATGGCGAGGCAGACACTGTGGAGAGCGTCTTTGAGAAGAAGGAGACTGTGATGAAGGTGCCGGCGACAGAATTGCGCTTCACGCAGAGGAGATGCAGCTTTTATTTCCGATGCATGCATAGGCGCCTGTCAAGCGAGTGCAGACACTGCCCAACAAGGTCCGTGCAGGACACCGCTGAGGAGATCGTCAATGGAATGGATCCGTCGAACAAGGACTGGGCAATGCTTGATGTAGTGAAACAGGATGGCGTCCTCCGTTTCATCGACAACCGTAGGCTCTTTGCCTTTCAGGAGGCACAGAGACAACTCCGAGAGAAGGGGCAGGAACGAACAGTGTGGGTAAGGGTTCGGACCTATTCCTGGCATCCGCAATTCAACAGGTTCCTGAAGCACATGGCCTATTGGGATGAACCAGGTGGCGGTGAAGATATCGAAGTGAAATGGTGGCAACGCCAACACAAAAGACACCGCCACCGCTGATGGGCGAAATCGCGACAGAGGCGGGGATTGCCTGAGTTCACTTCTCGCAGAATCTGTGGTACCGACTTCAGTGGCTCGCGCATCGCGTGAGAGGCGGCTGAGGTGGCCAGGACACGGGTAGTAGATAGTATATATATATATATATATATAGTATAATATATATATATATATATTATATTGCTGCAAGAATTGCAGCTGTTCACAAGGGATGCTGGCTTGCTCCGAAATCGGATGCCTTAACAGCTCTATAGTCGATCCTTTGCTGTGCTTCACGCGGAGCCGCACGTAGCTGTAGCTTGTGTAGATGGGTACTTTCTTCTGGTTTGGAGATGTTCGGAGCAAGTGTCAGAAACTGTGCACAACGACCAGCCAGCCCGGGAGCCAGGAGCGCCCGAAAACAGCGCGAGCCGCGTGGTTTAGGGTTTAGGGTTTAGGGTTTAGGGTTTAGGGTGCCTTGAATGCAACAGGCGCGCGTACGATCACAGGCGTGTACTTGGAGGTTCACGGTACTTACTTACCACTTATAACTGGGCATATGACCCTACTTATAATTGGGATAACCCCTATAAGGCCCTTTAGGGGTATTTTAAGTAGAGTTGTAAGTACAGTTATAATTGGTTGGTAAGTACCATGAACCTCCAAGTACCCCGTAACCAAACATGTTTTTCCACTGTCTCGACGTGGGGTCCTGAGGATGCCTCCGGTTCGAGAGACCCCCTGCGCACCAACTGCTGTTAGGGTTTAGGGCTTAGGGCTTAGGGTTTAGGGTTTAGGGTTTAGGGTTTAGGGTTTAGGAACCCCCCAAGAAAATAACAGACAATTTACCCTTACGGGGAAGAGTACGTTGTGTTTTTGGGGGGTGGTTCTTGAGCAAGTAGTAGTTAGTAGTTTTTGACTTGCTTGGGTCTTCCCTAAACCCTGAACCCTGAACCCTAAACCCTAAACCCTAAACCCTACTTTTAGCGCTGCGGGCAGGTCAGCGCAGTGCTTCTCGCGCTGGCCATCGGAATGGGTCCGCCTGCAATCAAAGATCTGCTAGTTGGCGAGCAGCTTGGTCGCCCTGTGGTACCCTTCGTGGGTTAGGGTTTAGGGTATAGGGTTTAGTGGTTTCCCGTATACTGTGGCCATCCACAACAAGGGTACCCTTATTGTCGGATGGTTGCTGTACTGGGCTACCAAGGCACGGCGCCTACTTGGCGTTCGCTCCTGGGCTGCATTGTGCTGGAGCTATGCGGCCAAGCCCAAGGTTTAGCATTTTAGGGTTTAGGGTTTGAGGGTTTAGGATTTTAGGGATTTAGGGTTTAGGATTTAGGGTTTGAGGGTTTAGGGCTTAGGGATTTAGGGTTGACTTTGATGGCCCACGTGTCGAACAGAGGTTTTTGGCACGGCGAAGGAGCTTGGCAAGGGCTTTGTCCCGCTTCAGATGATCTCTCTCGGCGGCCGGATGCTCAATGTGGTTGCTTGGCGAAGTTGAGTTGCTCTTAGGGATACTTAAATATTTTTTCAATTTTTGGTGCTGTAATTCCTAAGAAACAGCCCGGTTTGTGGTAGGAATTACCGTTGCATCTCAACCGCTATACTTTTTGCTAGGGTTCCAAGTTCAATATAGTGCTTTGCGGGGGGCGAGCCCTTTGTTCTGGAAAGTGCCCTGAGCTCTGTGGGGCTGTTTATCAAGGTTCCTTAGTTAAGCGGTCTGGGAGGCTTTATGATTATGGGTATATATGTATTTTATAGATATATATATATATGTATATATATATATGTTTTTCTTCGGGATGTTGGGGCTGGGTTAAACATTTAAGTGTTCGGGGGTTCTGGGGGGGGGTCTGAAGAAGGGGTTTCGCTTGTTTTCAATGGCTTCTGGGCTGCTCTCTGCAGCTCTTTTGCCGGCTGCGGCCCTCGCGTGTCTGTGACGAAAAGGCTTCTCAGCAACTCAACTCCACAGCAATCCGCAGCACAATTTTGGATCCTGGACCAGCCGAATTTTGGAACTGTCACCCCATGAACATTGTCGCCCGATCCCTTGTTTATAGATGCATATCTATATATATATATATACACCTATATCGATAGATATGAATATATAAGATATACATTTTTGTATATGTATATGTATAACAGCTTAGAGACACGGGCCGAAACCTTTTGCGAGTTGCAAACGCTCTTGGAACAGGCTCAGCTTTCATCAGTAGTTATATATATATATATATATATATATATGCTACCCCCCCCCCGGGTTATCCACGCTTTTTTGTGGTTATCCACGCTTTTTGTGGTTATCCACGCTTTTTGTGGTTGCGAGCCAATTAGATCGTTCACGGGCCGCGGTGACCCCTGAACTCCCCCCCCTCCTCCAATAGCCCAATCCCCTACATAACGTAAATGCATGCAATCCTTGAGATGTCGAGTCCTCTCCATCTGTCCAAACACTGGGCGCAGCGACCTTCTCCCCTCCCCTCCCTTCCGCTCCGCTGCGCTCCCTGTTTTTTTGCAAAGGCTTTGAAACCCTATAGGGTTTAGGGCTTAAAGCCGATAGGGTTTAGGGTTAAACCTGAACCTGAACCTTTAGATCCATAGGGTTTCAAGGTTAAGCAATTAAACCCTTAACCTTTAATCCTATACGGTTATTAGGTTTGAAGATTTTAGGATCTAGGTATTTAAACCTAAGCCTATAGAGTTTAAACCTTAAGGGTTTACGGTTTAGGCATCTAAACCTGCACCCTTTAGGGTCAGAACCCTGAAAGCCTATAGGGCTATACAAGGCTGAAAAGTTTTAACCGCATAGGCGCCGAAGGAATACATGCCCAGACCTTAGGTTTTCAAACCTTTAAATCCCATAAAGTCTAAAGTTTTAGGGTTTTTCAAGGTATCTCTAAAGCCCTCACGGGGTTAGCCTGATAGGGTTTAAACCCTATAGGCCTATAGGGTTCAACAGTTTGGGGCTTTAGGTTTAGGCATTGCCTGTAGGATTAGAGCCTGAAAAACCCTATCAGGCTTGAGGCTTTTTTCCCTAAACCTAAAACCCACATGGTTATGCCTCTGATTTTTAGGGCTTGGTGGAAATGCAAAGAATAAGCAGAATAAGTGCCCACACCATGTATCGGGTTCAAAAGTTTAGGGTCTTAAAGGTTTATAAGCCCATGGAGATAAACCGTAAGGGCTTACGGCTTAGGCATTTGAATCTAAATCCCAAGCCGTTTTGGGTCAGAACCCTGAAAGCCTATGGGGCTCTAAAAGCCTCAAAGGTTGTAGCCCTATAGGCTCTGAAGGTATACATGCCCAGACCTTAGTCTTTTAAACCTTTAAAACCCAAAAATGTTATCTCTAAAGCCCTCACGGGGTTAGCCCGATAGGGTTTAAACCCTATAGGCCTATAGGGTTCACATGTTTATGGTTTAAGGTTGAGGTATTACCTATAGGATGAGAACCTTATAACCCTGTGTACGACTCACCTTTACGTACTATTTGATGTTTCTCTTTCCCCTGTTAAAGCTTCAAGGATTTTAAAGAATTGGGAAACGGCCCGGCCCATTTAAATAGTCTAATTATGGTTTCAGCACATTTAGGACTGCAGCCTTCCAATCTCTAGATCCCTCAAGGGTTTTAGGGTTCTGACCCTGAAGGGTTTCGGGTAATTCTTAAAGCTTGGACCCTATAGGGCTAAACCCTATAGAGGTAACCCCGTCAGGGGATTAGAGATAATCTCCGAAAAGCCCTAAGGCTTTGGATTGAACTTCAAACTCGGGACCCTGGATTCAAGATCCCGGGGAAACTTTTCCCTAAAAACTTTAAATCTTGAATCCCGGAGTATTGAACTCCAATCCGGGGCATTGAACTTCAATACTCCGGGATTCAAGATTCAAGATTCAAGGTTCCAGGGAAAAGTTTCCCCGGGATCTTGAATCCAGGGTCCCCAGTATTGAAGTTCAATACCCCGGATTGAAGTTCAATACTTCGGGACCCTGGATTCAAGATTTCGGGTGAACTTTTCCCGGGAACCTTGAATCTTGAATCTTGAATCCCGGGAGTATTGAACTTCAATCCGGAGCATTGAACTTCAATACTCCGGGATTCAAGATTCAAGATTCAAGGTTCCAGGGAAAAGTTTCCCTGGGATCTTGAATCCAGGGTCCCCAGTATTGAAGTTCAATACCCCGGATTGAACTTCAATACTTCGGGACCCTGGATTCAAGATCCCGGGGGAACTTTTCCCGGGAACCTTGAATCTTGAATCTTGAATCCCGGAGTATTGAAGTTCAATCCGGAGCATTGAACTTCAATACTCCTTGTCCCTCATCGCGCTTGACCATTGAGGCCTTGAAATTTAAGTACACTATGCACTCTAGAACCGTCTCTCAAAGAAAACAAATTACGAACGAAAAAAAGAAATACGCAGTGCCATAACAAGAAAAACACAAAACAAGCAGAAAAGGTGTGGATAACTCGGGGGGGGGGTACCATATATATGTATATATGTAAATATATATATATACATAGATATTATAAGTACGGTTATCAAGTACCTTGAATAGGGTTATAAGTATAGTTATGTACCACACTTTCAACCCTGACAAAACCCTACTCAGAATCATGAGTGTGCTTTTTGCAGGTCAGCGACCACGGTCCACTGGCCTCCAGCGGGAATACCGGTCCCCACACCCGGTCAAAACTGCTGAGGCGCGAGGGATAGCCGGTTGGGGGGTGTAAGGCGGAAAGGCCCCCTTATACATACATATATATATATATATATATGCCTTATACAGTCCCTATATACCTAAGTAGCCCCCAAATATCCCTTAAGTCACCCATCAGGTCCCTTGTAAGGGTCCGTCCTGTAGTCCCTTGAACCAGGGGATACTCTGAGGCTACGGGAGAGAAACCCCGTACCCAAGGATTGTGATTTTGAGGCGCCCTCTAAACCCTAAACCCGGATGTTCCCCCCTTGTACGAACAGCTCCTTGATAGGGAGTATTTTCGGGGGTACTATAATCCCCATTAAGGACTGCTAGTATAAGGAGAAACTCCCCCTAAACCCTAGATCCCTTCACTGAAGCTTGTGAGGCTCGCTGGGACTGTCGCAAGTTCGAGGTTCCAGTGTGCCGAAGCCCACCTAATTCCTAAACCCTAAGCCCTAAACCCTCAACCCTCAACCCCAAACCCTCATCTGAGGCAGAAATCCTCAAACCAAAGCAGCAGGAAGATGCCTCAGGCGATGTAGGAAGTTTTATTCTGATCTGGAGTTATATTCATTCATGACGGGATAGAGTGGGCTTTCGACTCTCAAGGATCTCGTCAGCGGTCGGCCCTAAACCCTAAACACTCCACCCTCAAGGATCTCGGCAGCGGTCGGCGTGGCTAGGATGATTTTGGCCCCGACAGTGCTGCACCTTGGTTGAGGATACTCGTACTATTCCGGAGACCTTAAAGCCTTCAACCCCGAAACCAAGAAGAACCGAAAATCCTAACCCCTAAACCTCTAAACCCCTAAACTCACAAGCCCTGTTTCTCTGCAGTAAACCCCAAAAAGTTGGAAACCTTTTTAACAGTTTAGGGTATAGGGTTTAGGACACCATTTTAAGGACAAATAGTGCCGCGATTCCCAAGACTTTACTCTTAGGGATTGAGGCTATTGAGTTTCCAAGTTTTTTTCGGCTTCTACTGTAAACTTTGGGGCAGGTGTATCTTCCCTTAAGTTTAGGGTTTAGGGACTCGGGTTTACGGTTTATGGTTTAAGGTTTTCTTAATGGGGATCTTCACACAAAGACAAGCAGAGAAACCAAGAACCAACAAACAAAAGAAACAAAAACAAGGGCTCGAGAGGTTCAAAGGGCCACCTAGGAAGGAATATCCAGAGCCAGTGGCGCCAAGCGACCCTCCCCAACCGAGGGTTTTTGTTTTAGGGTTTAGGGTTTAGGGCTATTGCAGAAGCAGCTCCTGACAAGAAGTCCTCGGGAGTTGAGAGGAGGGGTGGGGGATCCACAGGGATTGGTTAGCACCCTCTCAGAGGCTCTTTTTCCCAATGGTCCATCCCTTCACAGGACAACTAGAACAACCCCGCATGATGCACTCTAAATGAAGCAGGCAGCGGCCCAGCCCTGCAGTAAACGTGTGCGGTAGAGCATTTTTGCTAGTTATGTGGCCGGAGAAGTTCCGCCTGAAAAAGAAACGGGAGAGCCGCTTCTGCCTTTCCCTTCAACCGACCCTGAACCTGAAATCCTAAACCCTAAACCCTGAACTGTGGGCAGTCAGCTGAGGTACTTCGTTGCCTACGGCTTCAATGAGTACGTGTGCCTTAGCCTGCACACCTCATCCAAACACATCTGCACTTTGAGGCCTCGTCTGCTCAGAGAGGCCCACCATTGGCTTAGGTTTAGGGTTAGGGTTTAGGGTTAGTAGGGTTCTCCGTCTAGTTACCATACTTATAACCCCACTTATGACTACCCATGTACCTCCAAGTAGGGTTTAGGGACAAAG